TATTCCTGCTATATTCTTGGGGTTGCCAGTAGAGTCCCTTTAAAAGAGAGCCCCTCGAATTTCTGCGCTAAACGCTAACCATCTCCAGGGTTCCCGCATCATCTGCTCCCTCGCAGGTGCACTGCTGGTTTGGTTCCAACCCAAGATAACCCAAGCATGCAGCAGAGCAGGTGCGCGCAAAAACGCCTCGTGCGGCACAGAAAGCGCCTAGCAAGGAGCAGGGGCAAACCTCCCTTGCTATCCTTCCTTCTTCCGAACCCATCATGTCTTACCTGCTACAGTATTAGGCATCTTTGAAGCTTCAATCACTTCAAGTGAGGGGTTAAGATGGATTGGAAGCGATAGCCCATGCTGCTGCCTGCAAGTGATGGTCAGACCAGACTTGCGAGAATTGCTTCAGCAGCGTCTGCCGCGAAGCGATGACAGCCTCCTCGCAAGCGGTGGAGCTCCAACAAACTGACGCATTGGGTTGAGCGTCACAGCGCAGAGCTTGCCTTATTGTGTGCGATAACTGTGTCCTCTGCTCGCCCTACTCAAATGCAACACAGCATATGCATCATATGCACAGGCTTGCCAGCCTTTCGGATTTGAGCAGCAGTACTGCAGTACTATCACAACATTGGACCAGGTAGGTAAATGCCTGAGTACTTGCAAGGCCGCAACTGCTGGGTTCCTCGACAAGAGTGGACTGCAAGTTGGCAATCTCGTCCTGCGCGTGACGTTTTTGCATGCATCCATGAAGAAATAACAACTTACCTTCACCAACATGCATTGCAACGACGCGTCGTGAGGTAGGGTCTTTCAGCGGACCCTCAAAATCATCCAATTTACTACCAGCCCCATGTGTGCAGTGAGCCAACCGCAAGCTGTCCTGCAAAGTCTTCTGCACTTCTGCAGCCCCAAAGTGATTGATGACAGGCTGAGTCGTAATGCGGCCTCGGGTTGGCATCTCGGCAAGGGATCAGCTCTAGGCCGCTGAGCCAAGAAAATGCTCGCTTCCTTTTGCTCCTCTCCGCGCCGCCGGTCTCCTACAATTCGACGGAAGGTGAGATTAATGCGGCCCTCCATGCAGCCGGGGTCCTGTCAAGAAGCGTGCGCACGAGCAGGTGTTGACAGAGCCCTGAGAAAAAACCTGAAAGAAAACACTCCATTGAGCAGGGGCGCCGCAGGAAGCGAATGCTGCCAGTTTGCTTGCATCGCGCCTGTCAACTTGAAACAGCATGAACACACTCACAACGTCACGAGATCCTACAGCAACCCGACAAGCTGCAACGGCTAGATCTAACCGTACCCCAGAAGTTTAAGAAGTTCAAAAGCAAACGGGGGAAATGAGACTCTCTTTAAATCGTTTTGAACCATACGAGTAGCCATACCTGAGCTCGGTTTCCCTTGCGTCGCTCGGGCGTCCTCTCATCACAAGCAGCGAGCCCGGCTGCAGCAAAAGTCGCCGAAGCTGCTGCGCACTGCCTCCGATCTTTAAACGTCGCACTCGCATCTGCGTCTCTGCATGATGGCATAATTTGTTTTATCCTCCATGCAAGGTACGGTCAGTGTCGCCGCGACGTGGCTTCCGGCGCACTTCGAAGACCCTAGGAGCACCGAAGGACAATGAGCCTGAGAAGATCAAGCTAGCCCCGAGGAAACTGCCAGGCGCATGCATGAGGGGCTATTCCAGAGCTGCATGTTCGATCACATGTCTCACTGAAGCCATGGCTCCTATGATGATGTTGTCGGTAGGCCCATAGCATTTCCTTGGTCGGAAGCACTCGGTGAACCAGTTTCGTAGCCATGCCTTCAGCTCCTAAGACACTGAAGCCGAAGTACTCATCATCAGCATGCCATTTGATTTGGGCTTTGCCGTCCATGTAAAAATTCACAAGCACCTGCCCAAGAAATTCAGACAATTCTTGAAGTGATCTCACCCTGAGTCAAGAGCAGCAACACTTACTCTACGCAGTCACTACACAAGCATCTGGGCTCCTGACGCTGTTGAAGAAAGGTGGCACTGGCGGATCCTCCAGCGGCTTGCCACCACCTGGCCGGCTGCAAATCCAAAACCACTCCAAATTAGCACGCGTCTCAGGTGGCACCAGGAGTCTGATGTTCTTCTTCTAGGATCTTGCCAACTTCCTCCTCCACCTTGTGCTTCAAATCCAGGATGCATTGTAAATTCCTTGGCGTGGCAGGGCAGGGTCCATGCCAGCAAGCCGTGCCCAATTCAGTCTAAAGCTGGCTTGCTGTTGAGATGCTCGCTCTCAAGCGGTCGCCCCGCAAGACACCAGCGAGGATTATATCGGAAGTCTAGCGATTGCTTGCCCCCATCTGGCACCTGGAGTCCCAGCAGCATCCAGCAGCGTTTCTGCTCGCTGGCCCGCTTCATCTGCTCTACGGCCAAGTGTCCGCATGTTCAAAGGTGCCAGCGGCGTAGAATTGGGCACGCTCGTTGTCTGCAGATGTGTCCTGGCCAGGCTCAAGCCTAACTGGACCTGGATCGAAAGTTCTGAGGACATCCCAGAAGAACTCAGATCCTTGGGGGGAGAAGGCGTGGAAAGCGTGACTCTGCGCAAGATTTCAATGAGTTCATCGTACCAAGCGCAGGGATCTTTGTCACCAAAAATCTCCGGCACGTAGCTCCTTGCAGATGCTAACATCAAAGCTGCCACTTGCAGTGCTCGCAAGCAAACTTCCAAATGCGGCCCCGACACATGAAGCTAGTTTCGTCGAGTCGAAGCAGAATTGGTGTTGGCCCGCCCAAGAGGGAGCTCTTCTCCTCCCTGCCAGACCAAGCACAGTAGAGAGAATTTGCCCTCAGAGCTGCGTCATAGGCTCCTGGGATCATCGCCTGTAGTGCTGCCATCGCCAGCAGCCATCGCGGTGCCATCCACCGCCGCCCCAATTACACAAACTTATCCGTCAGTGAAGCGCTGACGTTGCAAAATGGAGTTGATGGTTGATGACGAAGAGATCATTTTCTGCGCATGCGCCCAAGGGAGCTTGAGATGGTGGCAGCAGGCTGATTGCGTGAGGTGATCAAGTCCTGTTAGGCACATTTCTTCGCTGTCGCAAAGCCAAGCCCCAAGCCGGTGGACTCCAGGAACCGGCAGGTCAGGATGTTCTCGTCGAAGCCTGACCGCTTGTGGCTTTTCGAGTCTCGCTGATTAATGCATTTTCATTGCTGACGAGGGCCGTCCTCTGCTGCACCAAGGTCAGAGGGCATCACATGACATCTATCACTGTCGCCCTGCCTGCAGGACTGGGAGTCAAAGTTGCCAGGAGCGTTGTGCGGCTGTTGCTGGCAAGACTATCGGATAGCCTGTGGACCAAAAGAAGGCAAAGCAGAGGCTGTGTAACGGCTCGTGAGCTTCTGCAAGGCAATGCATGCAGAAGGCGGTTTGCTTTAAGGTCTCAGGCTCTTGCAGCATCGTCAACTTGGAATTCCTGTCAACAAGCTCTTTACTGTGGTCTCATCACATGCTCAGCTTGACACGCTGGCTCATGGGCTCATGGTGGCTGACTGTGGCCTGAAGGGCACATGGTCGCGATTTCCGTCGCACAGTGCCTCAGAAGTAAGCGAGTTCTAAGTGAGCACATCATGATTGCAAGCCACCCGTCCCAGCAACTCACGAGTGCAAGCCAGCTCGAGGCACTCTCTCTAGGCGTGGAAGACAGTGAACGAAGGCTGTTAACAAAAGGTGGCATGATAGATCTCTAGATAGGCAGGCAAGGAGCAGGCAAACGGGCGGGAAGGAAGAGGGGAGAAGGACAAGGAGCCGAAGGCAAGAGGGCGCAGATCAAAGCAAGCGCCACGCTTCAAAAGAGCGACTCAATTTTTGAAAAATCATAGAAGTTTCAGATAGACATGATCCGTGGTGTGTTGATGCGGATGAAGAAGGCGCCGGGACTTTGTATTGGAGATGGGGATTGCCGCACGCGCCGAAGCACCCCAGTACGTACTGTCTCAGAGCCGGTCGCATGATGAAACGGCAATCTTCTCGGTGTTGAGAGGCTCCCATGCAAGCTATAAACAAGATGACAAAGACGATATGGATGATGCAGTGAGCCCCATGAAACACTGATGGAGGGGCTGCTGCTGCGGCTGCTGCTGCTGCTGGCTAGGATTTTTTGCGGAGGTTTCAGGGCCTCTGGAGTCAGCGCGTTAGGCGTACCCGCCACTGAACCTTCGGGTGTACTAGCTGTCATACTCTGTCTTCACAGGGCGGGAAAGATCCTCCGTGCGATGGGTTGCTCATGGCTGGCCACTACAGAGTCCCCGACAACCGGAGAAGAAAACTGTTTTGGGCGGATCTGGCCCTTGCACCCTGCCCGCACCCACAACATTTTTGTATAGCCGAGGTGCATGGATGCAACTAGCCAGATCGAAAAGGCTGCGATTGATGTGCCTCTAAGGCTAGGCGATCGCCACCAAATTGCACTTGCAGGCTCAAAGCAGCCTGCCTGAGCTCCCTGAAGCGGTCGCCCTTGCACTCTGAAGTTTGTTCATTCTCACGACCAGCCAGATCAACCACCTGAGGTGCAAAGGGGTCGGCAGTGCTTCGCCCTCGCCCCGCATCTTGGGCTTCTGCTTGCATGGTAGACATGTGATCTCCGTTTGTTGCATCTCGAACTTCAACCTGGCAGGTGACAAGGGCGCAAGCCAAGATTCCTCGAGCAGCTTTGCACTTGACTCCTGTTCTGAAAGCCTCTGGTCTCTGTTGGCCTGCCTGCATCTTGGCACTAGTATGCCTGAACTCAAGACATGGGGCCTTGAAGATGAAGATGGTGTGCGAACGACTTGATCTGTCATTCATGGTTGTCCTTCCATGGCTAAGACTCAGCCGAGGATCACAGCCTATCATCAAAAGAATACTTTGAACTTTTCGAATTATCACGCTCTGTATCATTGCCCAACTCTGGCTGACAGCATCCTGGATCATCATGGCAAAATCTTCAGTCCTCTCCACTTTTTTTGCTTTTTCTCCTGACTGAAGACGAGCACGCAAATAGAATTGTAGTTGCACAGGACCCATGAGCAGGCAGCAGATGTTTTGCCTGATTTGCCGGCAAATCTTACAAACCGCTGGCTTGGAAAGCCAGGCCAGTATCTACCAGGAGTCCTTTTGAAACCAGGCGTGCTACGTCTCGAAGGTGCTCCACGGGTAGCTCCTCGCGTGAAGAGCTTTTCAAGCATGCCTTCGCAGTTGGAAGTAGCACCACACAGCAAAATTTCGTGGCATCCCCTAGCTCCTGCAAGTTTTCCACGTAAACGCCAACGGCAGGATGATTTCGTATTTCCAGACGGGAACCTGTGGCTCTGAAGCTGCAAAAGTGCTTGGAGGAACCGTATCCCAAAATGGTTGAGAAGTCTGTACGTTTCAATTTTGACTTTTGACTAACTCTCAGAGTCCATTTTTTGTGTTGTCGGCCTGCGGCTGTGCCTGGCTTCGAGTGCCGCCGGGGGCTCGGGCCTTGGAGTTTTCACGAAACCGAAGGACACATTGTGAGCTGCTTGTGAAGTGTTGTTATTAAAAACCATTCAAATGCGGGAAGTTTTTAACTCCATCTAAGCGCGACGCTGTCGCTTTCGGTGCGGGGTTGGCTGGGCGCAGCATGCTCCAGGAGATCGCGCAGGCGGTCGTTGTAGACCTTTCTCGCCATTACACGGGGATGGCAGGGTAATGGAGACAGCTGCTATCTTGTATGTACTTCAACGTGCCTCGATGTAGCTGATCCGGACTCTCCACGATGCGCCTGCATTGTCAGCTTCAAAAGAACGGCAGGTTCTGAATTCTCCTTGGAAGTTTAGAAGTTTAGTCTTCTCGGACACAGGCCTGGCTGCGGTGTGAACAGCAAGTAATAGCAAGAATCTAGATGCTACAGGCACTGCGCTGCGGACAAGGCCTTCTGCTCGAAACTGCTCCAGACGCTCAAAGAGTCCTGCATGACCAGTCGTTCATGTCAACACCGCGGGACGGGGACATGCGTCCTTCTGAGATCCGTGGCAGAAGTCCCCGCTGCTCTTGGCTTTGCCAGTCGCCATGCACTGTGTGGGTCTTCCTGGATGTCATCTGTGCTGCGCTTTGCGACAAAGCCTGGCAAACCTTTGAAGAAATCTTCGTTCTGAGGCATCTGCCCTGTCCCTGTCTGCCCGTAGGCAACCAAGCAACAATTGAAGCCTCAGCAAGCCAAGGGTGGCTGCTGCGGAGGCTGGGCCAAAACAATAACAAGCCTGTCTTCTTTGCCTCCATGTGAACAACAAGCGTCAACGCGCGTCCTGGGAACGTGGCCGGTGGTCCCGTGCATAACCATTTCCGCACCAACGCTGTTGTAGATCGTGCCTCACCCAGCTTTTCGCTTGAGGCTGGCAAAGTTCTGTGGCTTTACTTGGGAGGGCACGCTGATCAGCGAAACTTTCCGACCACGGCCGACCTAAGTCTGGAATAAGCGAAGCTGATCCGTCCAGTTGAGTGCATGAGGATCATCAAGGTGGGTGCTGGAATCGAAGGCGAAGGTACACTCAAACTCCCGCCCAGGTTGGTGTGGCTTCTGCAAGCGACGTCCAGTCGAAGTCAAGCAAAAGACGTGAAGGCACGGCCTCTGGATCAGAGAGGACCACGTGGCCGCTGGGCTTCATCTGTCAGCTGTGTGGCGGAGGAAGACGAAACATGCCCGATGAAAACCGCATAAGACCGTGTAAGAAGCCTTGATGTCTTGGCTGCGCGTCTGTCAACAGCAGCAACACTTTATGCACTCGACATTCGGGCCTCCACACAGCTTGCCGGGGGCGCCCCCGACTGGCACGGATGCTTGTACCCGTACGCACGGTCAAAGCACGCTAAGCCAGCGATCCCTCATTAAAAAGGTTCTTTGAAAGCTGCTAAGATTCTAAGCCCCAAGGCCACCTTGCTCACTTCATTGGAGAGGAAGGGCCGCAAACGAACAGCCGTTTGGACCTCGGCGATCGTTGCTTGCCCCTTGTGAGCGTATTAATGCACCAGCCTGAGCATCTTGCAAATTCATTGGAGGCTCGGGGGCTCTTTTCACTGTGTCTCCCTGACTTTGTGGGCGAGACAGACCTGACACTGCACAGCATCCTACAGCAAGTGACCACGCCAGTAACCAACAAGATAATGACCCGGCTTATCTGCGCTACCCGCAAGCACAGAACTGGCGCGCTGGCCTTCGTCGGGGGGAGCCGACTCTGCTTTGGGCAGCCTGAAAGCAGAAATGCAAAAAGCGAGTTGGGCATCAGCAGACAAAGTACTCCTTTTGGCTCCCTGGCACTAGAGCCACACATTAAAGCCACGCCTGCGGAAAGAAGGACGACATGACTATTGGCCGTTCATAGCAGCCCCACGCCTCAGCCACTTGCCACGCTACTTGAACTTGTGTGTCAGCTGGCTGGAACTTCAGCTGTGGCTAAGGCATCCCTGAGGGAAGGCGGGTGCTAACCAAACTTGAGGGCGTCGTCTGCTATGCAGAGCAGAAGATGGCCGCAGCAGATAAACACCCCGCTGCTGCAAGCTTAAAGCTGGAAGCCCAGCAAGCCTACACACACATCACATACGCCGTTGTACGCAGGATCTGAACCATAGATCAGAACACAAACCCTCACGCTGAATGGCATTTGACAGTCAAAAGTCAGGGGCAGAAGCCTCTACCGACTCCAAATGATTCCAACAAACAGTGGATCAACGCACTTGCACAACAGCCTCAAAGATGCCTTCGCCGTCTTTGGGCTTCTTCCTCAAGGTGTCGAAGGAGTTGAGATCCCCAGATGGCAGGCATCAGGCTGCAAGTGGGTTCCCTGCCCTACTCACGTGACTGCTGCTGGCTAACTGGATCCACAAGACTTTTCCTTTTCTGGACTCCGTTTTCACTCGTGAGTTTGGAGTGTGAAGAGTGCATCTCAGGGCCTGGGCAATGGTTTGAAGTACCAGACAACCAGGCGGCCGTCCTCACGCATCTCTCTGCTGGCTGACCGGCTGACTAGCTGGTAAACAAACTTCACGTTGACTTAGAGAGCCGACCAGGTCTCCACCCACCTGAAATTCTCCAGATTTCTCCCGAATGTCTGCAACACAGCAGGCTGGAAGGGAGCTCCTCGGAGGAAGTGGCGACGAGCCAATGTGGATCACTCGTGAACGAATTGCTGCCACAGCAACAGCAACAGCAGCACCTCAGAAAGTGGTGAAGATATCAGCTGACAAACAGGTTTCTGGCTCTACGACTGTGGTACGGCATGTGAGGTGGGTGGGCACCGATGCGCTGCAAACTTGCTATTCTTCTGCTCCACATGCTCTACTTCTTGTTGCTCGTGACGCGCGTGGAGCCAGTCCCGCTCCTGCAGCCTGAGGAAAATTACAACTTCGTGCAACACGCAGACTCCCCCGCTGCAGCCTCTTTGGCGGTGCGTCCCTTGTCTTGCTCACCCTCAACTCCATGTTTCGTCTGTTTCCATCGCGTGCGACGGCAATGAAGAGGGTGGGGGGCTATCCAGGGCTGAAATCCTACAAGCAAGACCTTCGCCCGACCCAGGCTCACAGAAGTCCACTTGTGGTATGTTGCTTTACCAGGCCATGCGCTCGTTCCAGCAGTTCAACTCTGTTTATGGAATGGTCTGGGGCGGTCTGAGGCATCTGCTGTAGCAGTCCTCGACGCTTTGGCTTCCTCAGCGGTCATGAGCCTATTCACTCTCCGGCTTCCGGTCAAATCTTCCAGAGGGATGGCCTAGGTTTTCGCAGGTCAGTAGCAAGCATGCATGCCAATCTTTACTTGCCATGGTTTCCTGCTGTACTTGGCATTTAGGGCGGTCAAGTGCCCGTTCGTAAATGGAGTCCCTTTGCCTGTTCGTGTTGGCACACGCAGTGCAGGGACCTGCTACACACATCTCCCAAAACAAAATCTACTGGTATTAGAAAGGCCAGTCTTGCCGAGGTCCCCCCCACCGGCTTTTTGCCAAAGTCGAAAATCTGTGCAGAGTCTGGCTAATAACTTAATTGTCAGCGACGGTCGAGCGATGCATGCCTCTGAATGGCACGACTAGCCGAGCTGGTTATTGGACATCTGCTGGTCTGGGCACCGGGCTTTGCGAGCGGCAAAGCCTGATCACTGCTCAATTCGCGGAAAGCTTGGCAGCTAGAATGTGCTATAGCGAGCTGCCGCGCTGCAAGCCCCCTGATGCCCAATCAATCAAGCTAGGCCTGCAGTGCTAGATGCAAAAAATCAAAAAATCAACGCTCAGACACACTCCTACCATTCCACACCTGTCACCTTGCGTGCTGTGGACACCTTAGCAGCCTGCCTTCAGTGGCACATTGCGCGTAGCCTCGCTCGCTGCTGTTGCCTGCAGAATGTTGCATGGATGCAGTGCTGGCATATTATGTTGACACTTGCAAGGCCATGTAGCCATGCCTGTGTAGTCTTCGACTTAGGGCTCACATCTGCTTCGGCACTCTCCGCCTGGCTCGGACAAAAACCTAACCCAACTTCTCGGCCAAACTACTTTAGTTGCACTTGCCTGGGGAGCTTCATGCCTCAGCACTAGCACTGTTAGAATACATGAGGCGTTGATCTTTAGCACAGAGGCGGGCACCCACCTTTCCAGAGCATCTCCTGGGCAGCCACAGGCAGCTCACAGAAGAATGTGACAAGGAAGAAATGGGCTTTTCTAGCCAGGCACAGTCCAACACGGCAAGACTGAGGTTGATACCTCCAATGCCTCAGGGATGCGTTTGCTTCTCAGAAGCAACGCCTCCGGTCTTGAACTGTGCCAGTCCACTGAAGCTGGGTAGCGCTAAGCAGAAAACCTTGCAGCGAAATCTTACATCCAAAAACAAAGAATTCTCCCACTTCCCTGGAAGTTTCAAGCCAGCAAACTCGTTGTTCCACCTCTCCACATGCAAGCAAATTGAAGAGGCAAAACAGCTTAGTTTGTGGGACCAGTCAGGTCCCAGTAGCTTTCTCACACAAGCTTTGGCTAGTGTACCAATTAGTTGTTCAAACTCTGCAGACCAAGGCAACCTCTACCACGTTATGAAGATTATGGGAGCCAAACCAGAAGGCTATCAGCTGCACATTTCTGAACCTGTCAAATCTGCCTGGGAGATGGCTTCTGAGTGGGCTTGCAGGACGTGAACTGGCTCAGTGAGTTGCGTCCCAGGCCTCAGTCAAGCAATTTTGCTGGTCCGTCAATTCTGACCCTGGGGGAGATGGAATAAATGGAAATTGGCACATCATGAGATAACTCCGAGCTGAGGATATCAGGCTTATGACATCTGCGTGAGGCTTCTGCGAAACATCCCAGCAACACACTGCGCCCTTCCCGTCAGCGCTGAGCAGGTACGGCGAGCCTGAACCGCATCATATTCCGATGCCGACAGCATAGACACAATAGGTTTCTACTGCAACGTTCGGCCTTCCAACTCTGCAAGAGCAGTCACCTCAGGCAACATATATAGCGGCCCCCTACACAGCCAGATGACACGTCAGACACATCAAACATCAACACAACACTGCACTTCTGCTGTCAAACACCAAAGCAACAAGCACCAACCAAACTGAATTCAATGCGCTACTTGGCGAGCTTTTCAGTCGATGCTGTTTCTGATACATTCACATGGCTTGCACGGTGTCATTCGGTGCACGGGGCTGGACAGGGCTCAGCAGTGCTTGCAGCATCTGCTCCAGTTGAGCCCATCCGCGCTGGTCACTGTGGAGACGCGGCCAAGCCCTACGAGCCCGATATCGGCCCCGCCAAACACTCAGCTGAATTATATGTCTATGCCAGCATCACATAGCTCTTCCTCCGAGATTCACGCAGAATCACCTCTATTAAAACAACAGGCAACAGTTTCAGACATTGCTATTTGAACTCATCAGTAAACATGGCTTTGCACTTTCCACGAGCTATGCCAGCTCTGCCACAAGCTGTTCCACTTGTGGTCATGCTAAGCCGCGGTTGCTACATCTGCTACATCCTCCCTTCTGCTCCTTCTGCGTTCGGAGCTGTCAATTGCTTTGCTGTCGCTTCGGCTCGGACGGCTTGGGGTCATCAAAGTCTCGCGGCTTGCCTGGCTGGCAAGGCTCTCTCTGGCGCATATTCCTCTTGCTACTATGACTTAACGAATTACTCCTCAGCTACATGGATAAGTTTCGGCAGAACATACACTGAGTCTGCTCATGTCCAGGGGCCTCTGAAGCTCCCGAAGTTCTGGAGCCTAGGCCACAAAATCTGGAAGTCACAGCTGCAACATCTGATCTTGAAAGTTGCTGCGGTTTGCAATCCACATTTCACTCAGCCTCTGGCGAGGTCCAAGAAATTCTTGAACCAGAATGCGCAGCTCCCTGCTGTCTAGCTGCAACTCACGAACCTCCACACTGCAGGTTGAAGGTTTTTCTGCTGTTTCCCGGGCCACCTGTTGCGAGTACTCCATCAGAGCCCTTCCCCTGTGAGCATCCTTGCACTATAGCTTCAAAGCTTTTGGGATCTGGCCTCTTGCCCTTCCTTCTCTGTGTCTTCCCGCGTGCGTAGGATTTGTGGATCTCAAGGTTCATTTAGGTACTGATGCATAGGCTGTTTTGGTGAATTGAAGCAGCGGTAAGCTATTCTGTTAAGCTACGTCAATCTGTCAATCTTACGGGCACTCATACATCCACCATCAACAGCTCACAAGCCTACCTGGAGCGTGATATGATTCGATGCTCCATGTAGCACTGTAGCACCCACGCAGATCTCAAATATCACTCGAAACAGCATGTTCAACTATCTTCAACTGACCAACTCTCTCAACTCTCCTATTCTTCTCTTCTATTTCTTTCTCTGCCGCAAAAAACGCCTGCCTTGGCCTGGAGTTCCACCACCATCGCCTCCACAAGATGAATCTTCGAAGCAGCTCACGTCCGCACGAGATGCACAAGCCCTCACATAGTCTAGTTGTGAAATTTGGGTTCGAGAGACCCTTGGCTATAACATGCCATAGCTGCAAGAGCTGCTTGATGCTGCTTGAGTTGCTCAGGACATCTAAGGACTTCAGCTCGGCCTGCTCACGAGTGTTCTCTGCCGTTCTCACTAGATGTCGACAGTAGCTCAACATCTCAGCAATGTCTCGGCGACAGCGCTGCCTCAGTCAAGTCGGCCATGACATTTCGAATTATCAGAACTTCAAGTCGGGCCCTTGCATGTCCTCACCTTTGGAGTTGATGTCTTGCTGCTGCTGCTGACACACGCCTTACATGCTCAGAACCCCCTCGCAAAGGAATGGCTGAATTGATTCCTGGTCCTGCAAGCCCAGCAGCATATGAGCCATCTCAACTGATCCTTTGCAGGCAAGGTCAGAGCTCAGGCTGCAAGGCACAGCCGCAGGCCCTTCAGCAACTACGCTCTCGAACCTATAAGCTTCTGATTACGGACTCCTTACTGAAGTGGACTGTTTGGCTTATCATTTGAGATGTTCGGTTTATGATTTTAGGGATTCCCCGATTTTGCGATCTTGTGTGACGGGGGCAGGAGGTAGGTTTAAAAGCGGGGTTTGGGAACAGGGTGGGGAAATCCCAACACCATAAAAACACTGCATGTGCTCTCATATTTATTTTTATGGAACTTCGAGAGGTGCCGTTTCCGGACTAGTGAACAAATAAAAAAACAAAACGCACTCCGCCCGTGCTTTGCAAAAAAAACTTTGACCATGCTATGACCTATAGGGAAAGATGTGGAAATTTGAGGAAGGGGACGTTTCCGGATGAGGCAAACATCCAAAAAAAATAGAAAGCACACTTATAAAGATATGCAAGATTGTGGAATTTTTGGGACTGTTCAAATAGTGTATGAATTTCACAAATACAAGCATAAAATGTTCATGACATACTAATAAAACATTATCCGCCGGAAACATAAACAAATCAACCAAAAACTAGAATAGTCGTAAAGACAATGTTTAGGATTTCATGCTTCTGTGGTACACTCCCGGATCATAACTCTAAGCGTTGGACGGCAGCCTCGGAATCCTCCCAGGGATTTCCACCTGTGAAATACATATCATGACAATCCCAGCAGGTGTTTAGCACTGTGATGGTGCCAAGTCCCTCGGCCTTTCGCAACATGCTTTGCATCTGAGTCTCCGACCGCCGCTCTGCGCGCAGGAACAACCCTGGCACGCAGGATCCGTCCCCTGCGAAGACATGCAGGCAACAGAGTAAGAGAGGCAATAACAGGGGTTCGACGTGAAGCAGCCTAAAACGGCCCTGATGCCTGAGCGGTTGTTCGGTCCCAGCACTCCTTCGCAACGGAGGCCAGCATCTGACCCATCTTGCCTCCGGGAGTGCCAAAGTTCCTAGCCTGACCCCACATGTCAGCCCAGGCAGATCAACACTCTTTGCCTGATGGAAGCTGCGCAGCTGCCCGGAACAGATCTGCCTTTGACACGTCAGCAAAATGAGACTGTGTCCGGTCGAGCTGCCGAGCACGCCGACCACACGCGCAATCGCTTCTATTGATTTCGCGGAACGGATTTTCGGTGTGATACCACTTCAACACGAAGAACGCCATGAGAAAGGTCAAGGCTGAAATTGAAGCTGAACTGCTCAGCCTGCTACACATCCGGTTGTACTGGCTAGAGTTCGGTTGAGAAACTGGACTACAGAAGCAACAAATCCTGCTGTGTTTGCATTTGGGCTTGCGCACAGCTGGAAGGAGTATCCATCGTGGTCCGCGAGCACAAGTGCTCACTGGCTTCACTTCTAGAGTTGAGCAAGACAGGAAGCAACACTATGCACAGGGAGGCTTCTTGCTGTGAACACATCTTCATACAAGGCCGATGCTGTGACAGTTCGTAAAGGTAGGGCTCCGGCCGAGCTGGATGCCGCTGCACAAAAGGCGTATGCTTGTTGTTGCTATTTTTGACAGCAATCGCAAAAACTAGGTCTGTATAGCTAGCAGCTGATCTCGATCGGGTTAGCCTTGTTTGTGTGCTGTCTCTGTGGTGAAAGAAAACTCAAGCAATGCTATGGCTGTAAGCCGAATTTTGCAGGCACAAGGAACTGACACCCTTTCCATCAAAGCCCACGCAGCTGCGCTGCATCCTCAAGGTCCGGGCATTAAAGGAGGGATGCCTCGGCTTTGAGTCCAGGACTCTCACAAGACTTGATATGCATCAACCACTCACAGCTAGCAATACCAACAGTGGGTTAAGCCCCACATGCAGCGCGTTTGAGTTCCTCATGGCCAAGAAAGGAAGCTCAGGGAAGGGCAAGACGAGTCCAGGCTGCACTGCCTTGTCGGGACACTGTCACCAGGACTCCAAAATTCCTTCTGCCACCAAAGCTATGCCAAATAGCAGAGACAATGAGTACACACGATGCGGTGTAGCACAAGAAGCGTGCCCCTTATGCATGCCCAGCTTGACTTTCTTCTTCTCAGCAGCCTTTGCACCTCCTTGACAACCAGGGAAACCAAAAACCCGAGCCCGGCCTGGGGGGGCTCAAGGGCCTGGCCAACAGAGGGCTCAGATATGCTCAAATGTCGGGGCAACGCTGCTACCACTTCGACCATGCCTTCGCCATCTTCGCCATGGCTTGGCCCGCACGCCGCAAACGGCGACGTGTGAGGCCCTGGGCGCAAGGCTCGCTTTCCGTTCGTGCTGTGAATATCAGATGACTCCTGTGATTCGGGGTCGTCTTCTGCAAAACTTTTGCTGTATCCGGTTAGAAGCCGGAATGGTGGGATTGCGTGAGGGTTGCCACTCATGCATGCGGCGCTTGGAAGGGCTTGTTGCGTTTGGGCGCTGTTCTGCCTGCCAAGAACATCTGCCCGAGACCCGATGATTTTTCCAGCCGGACACAGTTGACAACTTTAAGTTTAGACAGCATTACTTCGTGCTACGAAGTGCTACAATCTGCATGACTAGATCAGATCGTGTCAATGAAGGTGAGACACCAGCGCCAGTGTATTTGGCGAGAAGTCAGGCTACTCTGAATAGGTTGGACATCTTCGTAATGCACATGGAGATCAAGCAGTTGAGGTCCAGACTTTCTGTCATCACCAAGCTCCAGTTAGCTGAGGCCTAATCTCTTGAGCTTTGGTGCTGCGGCCGTGACAAAGGGATCAGGTTGGTTTGTTGCGGAACACCAGGCCAGCAAAACCAGAATGCCATAAGTACAGCAGTATGTCTGTTATGTCGGTGACACGGTACGCAAATGATCTTTACGATCCTCGGCTTGCCCAGCGCCAGGCAAGAGCTTTGTACAGTCGTGCTGCATGCACGTCATACGTAGTCATGCGTATGTAACAAGCCTCATTCAATTGAGGAAGGCCCAATCTTTGGGGCATCTGCCTAGTCGCTAAACATCTACGCGATCCTTGCAACTTGGATTTCGGTCAGTCATTGCCTTTGCCAGTCACTGGATCCTGAGCCAAATGTAGGCCACAGTTATTGCATGCAGTGGTTCCCGATGACTGTCGACCACCCTAGGTTCCCTTTCACAGACAAGCGGCGTAGATTTTGCCTCAGAAAACAAACAACCCCGGCATGATGCATGCTTCAAGCTTTTGAAGTGACTTGCTGGAATGATCGAGCTTAACTGCAGCCTCACCACCTTTGTAGGGATCCACCTTCAAGCCTGCAGCAAGAAAGCACGCGGGACCCTTTTGCATGTCCACATGGCAGGACGAGTATCTAGTGCCACTTAGGCGTGCAAGTGTGAATCTGCTGGCAGATTTGCTGCAAATGCCTAAAGTCCTTTGAGGGGATAGAGTAGGTCCTGGGCACAAAAGAGTGTGCCTGTGCCATCGTCAATGTAACTGCCGTCATCCAGAATCTCGCCTGTCTCTGCGTCGATCTCCTGAGGGTGACTCTCGATGACTCTCGTGCTACAGCTTGCCAAGCTTTCCCCGCCAATGGATCAATCAAGTCCTGCCCAGACTTGCCGTCGAGGATGTGCCCTAAGCTAGCGTCTGGCACTATGACATGTCTGCATTTGAATCGAGGCCTGTTGTACAACCAACACTATGAATCTATGAAGAAAAGTTCCGCCATCACTGAAGCCAAGCTGCCTGTTTCTGGGTCCACCACAACCTTGACTTCCAGAACCCTGTCACACCAATCATACCATGAACTCAGAGACATGACAAAATGAAGTTTGCCAAGCGGCATCTTTCAATGCGTCGTCCTTCTTCTCCATCTCGCTCTTCTCAGCTTCCTTGCCTTCGTGCTCGGCCTCTTTACCCTCATGATGACCCTCGTGCTCACCCTCCTTCCCAAGTGCTGAGGGGTCATAGTGCTCAGCCTCGCCTTCCTTCCCTGGATGTGCTTCAGAGTCATGGGGCTCACCCTCGTTTCCAAGCGCTGAGGGGTCATAGTGCTCGCCATCTCCCTCTTTGCCTGTATGTGCTTCAGCGTCATGATGTTCCAGTGCCGCAGGGTCGTAGTGATCACCCTCAGCCTCTTTTCCAGGATGTGCTTCGGAGCCGTGGTGCATACCATCATTTCCAACTGCTGCAGGGTCATGGTGATCGTCTTCCACACCGTGTGACGCATGATGTTCAGCTTCGCTTCCAGCATGTTCAGCTGGGTCATAGGCGTCGTGTTCCTCTCTGGGTCCACCCTTGCCTTCATGTCCCGGAGGCTCGTAGACAGAATCGTCATCCTCCGTGCCATGCTTGCTGGCCATCTTGGAACTATGCTTATGCGCGAGCTTGTCCGGATTGTAGCCATCACCTATGCATTTCTTGCATGATGCAAGCTGTTCAGCAGCTATGCAAGATAAGCCTTAGCTAAGGTTTTGTTCATTTAGCATGCCCAGCCTTCAGACCCAAAATTCGTGGAAGTGAGTGCCGAATGCGGCTGCGGTAACCTGTAGGGGTGCTTTCTCATTGCGTCTAGTTGGAGGAGCGATGTGCCATCCTGGGCATCTGCTTGGGCTCCATCAGCGTCAACGGTCCAACGAGACAAGTCTTTGGACTGTCCGCCCAGGCGGGTGATCCATCTGGCTGCCAAAGTGGCCGTGCGTGCCAAGGAGTCTGGTGGATCACTGGACATGGGGGCGTCGTCAGCACCCACACCCAAGCCATCCACAAACTCAAATGATGCCCTCATACCACCCCGTTCTCTTGCTCTCAGGGCGTGCGGGCAGCCAAGCACAAGTTCTGCACTGTTTCGGGTACCCGCGGAGGCAAGAAGCGCGCCTTCGTGCCTGTTCTCATCAAAAAGGAAGCTGTGCAAACGCTTCCACTGTCTGCCCCCGGCAATAAGAGGGGCCACTTCAAAAGACCCTGGCTCCACCACCAGGGCCTGCAAGCTTCGGGTCATTGGCTTCTTTGGCGCATGTTGACAAACCTACATTGGACCATGCCTGACTTCTTGAGCCACTGACCTTTTCACAGGGTCTCTTACTCACTGTCTTGGCAAAGCACCTCTTGATGGCTACACGACTCAATACTGACTCAATACTGACCACCGGAGCTGCGCTTGCATGAACTTGTCTGTATCCATTTTTGCACTTCTCTACGTGAAAATCTCTTTGTCGTATCTCAGGGGTGAGAGCTTTTCTTCCGCTAAACCATTTCCGTGTAGTTCCACACTTCTCCTCATTGTGGCAATTGCCAATGCCATGTCATCCACCTGAGGCTTGCAGCAGCTTTGTGTACAACCTAGTTTGGTCCTACGTCTGGCCTTGTACACGCCAGTGCCGGAAACAATCATATTGGCACCAGCTTTGGCAGCTTCGTCCACGGTGTGCACCTTGACACCGCCATCCACCTCAATGTCCTGGGGCTAACAGGGTATGCCTTGACGGACTCGCAGCATAACTGAAATGTGGCGCTGAGTACAGTACCTTGTCAGGATATTTTGCACGAACAAAGCGGACTTTCCTCAGATTTTACGTCACAGCCATTGGCGACACCACGAAACCAAGCTAACAGTCTGCACCTCGGCGTGGCAAAGTCCAAGGCGGATTCAAAAAAAGTAAAGCATGCCACATCACAGGCGCAGCTGCTCCATCATCTCCACCATGAAAGATTGGCCTCCTTTGCCAGGCACAACTGTCATGACAAGTGCCATGTCCACCTGCTCAGGTGTTCAATTTCAACTTAAATGCGAGCAGAGAGGGGCTTAATCTGCCTTGTGCAACAGCAACGCGACTTCTCGTATACAGCTCAACTCTTGAGCGACATCCTAAAACTCATTCAGAATCAAATGCACAATTGCAAAAATTAGATGGCGTCAGCAAACTCTACATAGATTCATGCTTGCTGGAAGTGACAAAAATCGCATTCAGCAGGTTGGCATCAAACAAAGTTGCGCGCCTGATCGAGGTACGGCTGCACTTGCCTTGTATTTCGACTCATCAGCTTGAGATTCTTCCAGCACACCAAGCTGCCAATGAATTGCAAGCTGTCATAAGCTGTCCAGAATGGCAAGGGCGACGCTAAAGTGCCAGTGCATGCAACTGAGAGGCTCAATCGGTGTGGCTGGACTCAAGGCGATGCCGACGAGCATGCCTTTGTTGAATGCCATGCTTGAGACACAAGATCCTTTACGAAAAAGAGCATGTTGTCAGAGCCTTGGCGAACGAGATACCATTTTGTTTGACGAGGTCAATAACTTTCTGCGTTATTCCTGCCAGTAATCTCTGTCATCGGAACGAAACTCTGCCAACACGCAAGTAGGACCTCGGGGCTCTGTGGTTTCGATGTGGAAGGTGAACTGCAGCAAGTTTTTGCCACTCTCCTGGGTTGAAACAGGCTGATGGTTTGCCAGAAGCGCTGTCTTAAGCCATACTGCGACGCCTTATCATTGTATCATGTGGGCTCACATCACAAATATGATGCCAAGGTGTCTGGATGGAGGGCCTTTGCCTCGGCTATCGCCTCAACTTGCTCCTCGGGCTTCTCCACCATCATATGGCAGTCAAAAAAGACCTACAGGGCATTCGGGTCAAGCTTCCATCATGGTCCTACTCAACTCTGATTAGATTATGCGCTGCATATGCTGCACGAGTGATTTTGTGAAGCAGTTGGTCGGCATTGGAGCCGGCAAGCAAGCACGCACGACATAGGTGTTGGCACTTCAAGGTTTACTACATGAGTAGTGCCAATGAACCTGACCTTTCAGGATCCAATCTTGGCATATGTATCTGATCCGTTTGTTCGCGGGTGGGGCTCTTCTTCCGTATGTCAAGATGCTGGATTTTGTCCCCGCGTAGAGGAGATACAAAACCAAGGGCCACAGACCCCCATGCCCTATGAATTAAAAAAGGGCTCTCGTAGACTCCGCACCCTCTGTCCAAGACGGCCTTTTTTGCTCATTGTTCTGGTAACTGTCGCAGATGACAAGCACCCGCGCAGTCAGCTCCTGCCCTCATGCTCCTTGCTTCCCTTTCTGTTGTCTGCTTGCTTGTATGCCACATGCAAGATCAAGGCATGTGTGATAATTAAGCAATGAACTTGCCATGAAAGATACCCAACGCAAACCCATGCCTTCGGGTGATGCTTCCGCAAGTTGGCGATGACTTTTGGTCCAAAGGAGATGGCCGGAACCTTGGAAAACCCGGCTACGGTGCGCACTCAGCTTCAAGGGTACATAGCTGAAGCCTGCGGTCAACTTTCTGTGCTGGATGGTGGAACACGACTGGCTGCTCGGTACAACGCTGTGGTTGGTAGTGCTCCCGGCGAAAGTGCCCATGTTGCAAATGCTCCAGCAAGTCATAGTTGGTTTTCAAGTCACGCGTCCAGGAAAGATTCGGGCTAACACTTCACCAGCAGAACCGCAATGAACATCTGCCATCCCGCTGCCTCTACATAAGCTCATCGAGGGAGCAAAGTGGCCATCCATGACATCCAAGTGCAGGTAGTCGGCGCCCGCACGCAGGGCGCGGCCTGCCTCATGCGGTCACAGGCGAAACGCACCAGAACCAAACGACCCCCTCTTCGCTTAAAGGTCTGTCTGCAGGCTGGCTCTTCAAGTCTCTCAAGCTTTGGGCCCGGTGGCTTAACAGAAATCCTTTTCAAATCTGTTACTCATGAAGGGACGGCTCAGAATCTCCTGCAGCGCAAAATTGCCAGTTTTGTGGGCCTCTGTGGCAAGCATTGAGGAGTCGCAGTCCAAGACCTCAAACAGGCAGCAGATTTCATATACATCAGGGGGCCAGCAAGAGGAACTTGACTGAATCTCTTCAAAGCCGAAAAACAGAGGGGCCAATCTTGGCAGCACAGCAGTGGCATGCTGCAGATGAAAGCCTGCAGGAGGCCACGCAAGCGTAACTATAGAGATGCAACTGTCTCTAAGTAAAAGAAGGACGGCTTGGCAACTTGACAGCATTCCAGGACATGGTTGAGAATCCATCCATGAAAACCACTCTTGACCCCAGGAAGGTTGCTGGACCACATCCACCATTGCCGCTTCACAGTGCTACTCTAAACAACAAGACAACAAGACCGAACGTGCAGTCTTCCCGCTGATGCAATAGAATTGCGATGCGCGGATGTGCATCTGGACGAAGTCCCATCAACCGAGCAATTCAGCTGCCGATATCTATCAGATTTCATTGTCATATTACTTCGATTGAAATTGCAAAACAAAGGAGACAGATTACTACAGTTCGTCATAGGGCACCCCACCATACCCCATGCATCATCATGCTCCTCAAAGGATGTGAGAAGTCCGTGAGTTGCATGCTAAACAGAAAGCCTAGGAACTCCACCAGGCGCGCTTGCTATGATCCTACGTTTCCAGACTGTGCCCGTTCTCTGCCCTTGTGGCGTCAGGGTGCCTAGCGCCTTCGCCTGCAACATGCCATTAGTTGAACTCCAGCCCCACCAAATGGAGGTTGAGCCAGCAGCCTGCCTGGCTGCCTGGCTGTATCCGCCACAGAGCGCCATGGCACCCGTGCTACTCAGCCCGGCACCTGAACTGGGCACCGCAGTTAATGTTTCAGAGCAGTTGCACGGCGGAAAGTCGTCAAGATTCTGTGAGGTATCCTGATGCATGCTCGATCTCGAAACATGCAGAGGTATAAGTAAGAAGCCATCTTGACAGTAGTACCTTCTCCTATGCGCAGATCACATGCTTGGCAAAGGCGAAAGCAATCCGTTTTCCTGTAGGTATCCCAGGTGATGGCTCAAGCTTGCCGCGTGCTCCGCAACATGTGCCTCCCGGCCAAGCAGAAGGCACAAGTCGCACTGTACATGATGTCAGGTCCTTGCATCTCATTGTAAGGTTTCTCAAACACATGTGACAGCAACTTGCTTCCGATATTCCGCAGATACGGCTGGATGGAGCAAGTGTCAAGAGTTTGTCCCGTGTCTTGCCATCCCAAGGATGCCAATCGCGATGAATGTGAATTTCGTGATCGTGTATTTACATATGTACACGGAGGCGGCAGGCCAAGCCCCAGATACCACACGCAAAGGTGCCAAAAGCTTTTGGCACCATCAAACCGCACGGCATGACTTGGCCCAACTCCGGAAAAGATGCCTTGCAGGTGAACAGGGGATCTAATTAATAGCCACTCCTTAGTGAGATGCCCCCCAAAACAGCATCCCAGGTGGCTGTGATATTGAAAGGTATTGCCGGCTGCAGGAGAGCACAAGCCAGCAGCAAGCTTGAGATTCCTTCAACTTACGGAGCTTCAAGCGAACTTAGCCGCGGCCATCGAAATAGGATTAAGCACTTTAAGCACTCAACTTGACCCGGCACTGCTCATTCGTCCGGTTACTGTGGAGACATGCGATAGACCAACTTGGTGCCCGCATGGGCTTCACGTGCCTGTCAAGTAGCATCTCACGGGCTCACCGGTTCATGTAGGAGCCGTATTGAGGCTTTTTGAATTGAATGCCAAGATCACACCGGTAGCCAGGGCTCCTACTCTTTCCTGGAAAGTCCGCCCTCGGGTGACCTCTCTGATACATACCCTTCATGCCAACACTTGCAACGATCTTCCAGCTGAGGCTTGGCCCGCCCTAGACAAAAGCAAGAAGATATGTGAGATTCTCCTGTTCGCGGTGCGTCATCATGCAGGCTGTGGCCAACAGCTGTTTAGGACCCGAACCCCGGAAGGGGCTTCGCTTCACCTTTGGCTTGAAAGCAGGGTGATGTGTGACAGGATCGGCCACTCGATGCAGTGCATCTGCTCCCTTCTGTGTATTGGCATAGAGCCTGGCTGGGAGCCCTAACCGTAACGCCCACGGCAGTCCGAACATATCTGATGGGGGTTCCCAGCCGAAGTCGGGGCAGTTGATTAATTGAAGCAAAACGGGCATCTCAGCCTTATGATATTGAGTCTCAGACTGAAGAAGTTTCTACATCCTTGCTACAAGCCTGGTGCGCAGGCAACTCTCGAATTCGCATATTTCTGCCAGGACAGCAGTGGCAAAAAGCAGCTGCAAGCCAGAGCTGCAACTCCCATTGCTGGTCGTGGTCTATGCTCCTATGATCGACAGAACCTCTCGGTTTGCCTTCGCATCATCACTTACCCCCTTTTTCCTAAGTTTACTTACGCTCCAAACTGTTTCCAAGTCCTTTGATACAATCTCCAATATCTACGAACGACCGCAGGTGCAGCATGAGCAGAAGATGCACTGTGCAGTCAGCGAAAATCACTCTCAGCGACGCTGGAAAACCCCGAGGGGTAGGGTATTTGCAGCGATCCTGGCCACAAACTGAGAAGCTCACCAGCAGAGCCTTTCCTTGCTTGCTCGTCTTGACAGCAGAAACCTCAAAGCTTGCAACCATGGCCACTGGTGGGGGCCCCTAGTTTCGCATCCGACGGATATTTACCTATACAACACACCCAAGCCCCCAAAGCGGATAGGGTCCCATGCCATCAGCCCATAGTTATGACCCTACATAAAAACGCATGCCCCCTACATAGCTACCGTACAATGGGTGAACAGTGAAGAGTGCTTCGAAACGCAAGCCAGCTTTGCGCCGTCCGCCGGTTGTCACGGGGAACATTCCGCAAACCTGAGAGCAGGGAATTGTCAACCTGTCCAGACTCATGTCAAGAAGCCAGGAGATGTGAAGAATTCACAGGGCCAATTGCGAAGAGAAACAACACAAAGAACACTAGACGGCCTGTTGGCCTTCACTCACCTCTACATCCCCACACCTTTCAGAAAAGAGTGGCTGAGGTGAAACCGCGCCTATTCGGGGCGAAGCTGCTATGAGACTCCTCAACACTCTAGCCTGGGCATTCTACAAATCTGAGGAACTGGCCAAAATCTTAATGTGTCAGCAGGAAGTTGGAAGAACCCACAGCGGCTGAGTCCTGAAGTCTCTGCTCTCTGAACTACCCCACGCACATGGGCTCATGGCAGGAGCGCTTTGTAAGATCGCAGCGCGACGAGCGGGAACACTTTGGACGGCCGGGCTGACCTTAAAGCAAGTTCAGTTGGACAATGACACAAGTCATGTGCCTTCCTCTTTGGCTATACACGAGGCATCGGCATAGGCAGGTTGCCCGGGTTGGAAAGATGTGCTCCAACCGCTGCAGTAGCCGGAAACTCCTGTCATCAAACAATTCTGGTCTAGCAAAACCTCGTGTAATTGCAACAGCAAGTGTATTGCAGGTCAAGGACGCTTAGGGAGGCAGCTAAAACTGGTACCATACACAGACTGCATGGGGCTCTGCAAAACAAGTGCTGAGGGTGACTTTTTGGGCATCGGCGCCTTTGACTGCTTGCACATGCTGAACATCAGACAAGATCAAGAAGGAGGCACTCCCAAGGAGAGTAAATGTCGGGCAAACGAAGGCAGCAAACCCAGGGAAAGCGTCAGCTGTTAGCTAGTCAAGCAACATCAATAACATCAAGCAAAACGTTTTTGGAAACCCAGCTCAGGGCTAGCCTCTGCGCGGAAGGACGGGCTTTGATTTGGCCTAGGCGTTGTTCACCCGCTTGCAAAGGCGCGAAGCAAAAGTCCGGCCAGCTACACCACCCCCTTCTACACCTTGACTCTCAGGACTGAGTATAGAGCATGTTGGAACGGAGTGTGGGCCATGAAGGCCTCCGAAAAGGAAGCCGAGCACAAAGTTCGCCCAAAGCGAGCTATTGGAAGCACTCAACTTGTGCGGCAATTGCAGCAACTGCGCCTTGTCTTCAAAGTCACCTGGCATCTCAGGGAGAACCCATGATCAACACGTCCATGTTGGGCTTTAGCAGATCTAGGACAACTTCTACGGCGCCGCTGTGAAATGTAAGGAACTTTGCCTTAGTCATCCCCACACAGCTGTGGAGGCTGCCTGGCCCGCACAGGTCCTCGAGCTCCGCCTCGGAGGCCGTGGAAGCCTGCGACCAGGACTCGCACCACCTGAGCCACGGAGCCGTGGAGCCACGGTACACAGAAGAGTCAGGCAGTCTTCGGAACAAAAAAAGCTCACGCTTTCTCGCGTGCTCCAAGAACCTCACGACTTGCTGTTTTGCGGTGAATGTGTTCGTGATGGTTTCGCTGTTGCAGCCCGGATGGCTGCATCCAATGCCTGCGCAGATCGCAGCATCTGGCAGCTTTTTCAACACGCACGTACAAAGCTCCATGAAAGCAGGGCTGGCCTGCGACGCACGATCTGCTTGGACGCGTGCTAGAGCTTCGAGAATGGCACCTGCTTGAGAACTTCAAGGCAGCTAGAACTGCATGATTCATAGCATTAAATGAACTAACATGAAATATGATTTGCGAATCTAATCGCTCTAACATGCCTCCGCACTTGTTTGCCTGATGAGCTGGTGTACTTGCTGCAATCATTGAGGAACCAAACGACCAAAGCTTTTGAAGCTCCAAGGCTAGTAGCTTCGCTCACCGCTCTCAAGCAACTAGCTTCGCCTGATGCTCTGAAGCTTCAGAGCTCTGCCCTTCAAAACAACCGACTTCTGAACCACCATCACAGCTTGCCACTAAGCGGCTAGAAGGAGTCTTCAACCTTGGAGGATACAATTCAGGTTCTCTGTCACAATATTTCGCTTGGTGAGTCATTTCGCGAGGCTCAAAAGGAAAAAGAATCACAAAGATTTCAAAACTGAAAAGAACTCAACCAAAGAAGCCCAGTGCTGGGTGGTGCCAGCCCAGGGGGCGGTTGTAGGACCTGAGCTCATTGGGTTTCCCAAGTCCTTCAAAAACCAAGACTACACAAATGCATACAAACGCAAGCTCCTGCGGATTCCTGGAGATTCATTCCTGTTGGGCCTAAACACTCAAACTTGAAACTTGGAACACACCTGCAAAGAGGCCCGGCCGCTTGGAACCCTGCTGATTGAAGCTGGCTGACAGCCTCCTGAACACCTGTTGTTTGGCCGCGAGCTCCAGTCACCAGCTAATGGACATTTCCGCAGCATTTCTGGAACTGTGAACATGTAGGAAGTGGGACATGAGCCATTTACCACAAAGACTGGCCGGCTGACCTTCTGCAGCGCACATGTTCGCAGCTGACATCCTGACCAGCTTGAGCTTGTGATTCATCTTCATCTGTTTGAGGTATGTCATTAGCCTTATTCAGGGTGTAAGGCATCCTACAGGCTCTCCTTGCAGCACGTCGGCAGGGCTCCCGGAAACTTTCAGGTCTGAGACTGTTCAAACTTGCTGCGGTTTCAAAGCTCCGATTGCAGCGCACTCTTGCGTACAAGCTAGGCATATGCAGGCGGCTCAATGCAGACATCAGACGCCCCATGATGTTTTCTGTTGGTGGTAAGGCCTGTTCTTGTGGCGGACTCTTGTCACGATTTCGGATCCGCTCTAGCCGGCTCAGTAGAGCAGCCTGGGAAGCCATCAATCCTGACATCACGCAAAGCTGCTTTCGCACTCTCGCTGCGCTCGTCACCACAAACTGTGACAGCTCCAGCTGCCTGCTGCCGTCATCAGTGCCCAGGAGATGGCACGGAAGGCAGCGCCAGGTCCCAAGTCGTAGAAATGTCCTGAGCGTCAGGAGCAGAGGAGCTGAGATGAGAATTCGGTGTCCATCTGATAACTGAAGCATCCTGCCAGGGCACCAACGATGCCCGGTGAGAGGATCCTTGATGCAGAGCAGGCCTCGAGGTGTCGTTTTGGGCAAGCTGGGCCAGCTGTTGCTCACCTTTGGTCAAGCAGACTCGGCCAAGTTTCGAGAGAGTCAACGGCAAAGACCGAACCACGCATTCCACGCGGGGAGCATTTTGAGATCAGGATATTCACGCTCGGGGTGAAGAACGTGATCTGTGCAACGAAGCCATCAAGGTGTTGTGTAGGCGCCGACCAGAACAGAAGAGGCGGATGCAGCCAAGACACTCCAAATGCTTGAACGAGGAGGATGGCTATCACCTGTTTCAGGGCGAAAGGAAACAAGGACCTCGCCTCACTGTTTGGGGCATCGCAAGCATGCAGGCCATGAACACTTGTGTCCGCAGCACCTCCGCATTGCTCACAAACTGGCACGGTTATGTATCTTCCAAGCCACAAGATTAGGCTTTCTTGTCATGCTCATAGCTGCAAACGATGTGGCGACGGATGCAAGGCCTCAGGGGAAATCAAGAAAGACTGACAAGCTGCTCTCCTTCACATAGGCGGTGACCAAGGCACAAGGCATTGGAAAAGGCCGATGAAGGTAATGATGAAAGTGGTGATGATAATCATCGTCATCATCGTCATCATCATCATCATCATCGTCATCATGAATCATGATGGTGGTGGCAAGGATGTTGTTGTTGGTGGTGGAGCTCCATCAACGAACTTTTTGTCTGAGGACACTGCCAATGACAGCACCGAGGAGCACCCTGCCCTCCTTCATCATGAGCCTTTGCATTGCTTAGGGAGTTGTCCCTATGCCGCAGCGATAGATTTGAGGTTTTTTGGGTGTGACGCTGCGCGATCTTCCGGGCCCTGCCTGCGGTACACAAAGGCATTCGCCATGAATGCCTCATTGACACGTCTCTCATGCGCAGCCCCTCAAGAATGCCCCAAAATGCTCTCGCACCAACCCCTTCACAGTCGAAGCGCAAAGGTTGCCGCGAGCGTCAGGACTGCGCCCAGTCGTCGCGGCGTCCATCCGAAGCGGTCGAAACACCAAACCTCAAGGAAGCTTTCTGAGGGCATGAAAAGCTGTCCACTTGATCCCTCTGAACAAATCTAAGTGCGAAAGCAGCGTATGCTACAGTATCTGCAGTCTGCAAGCATGCGGCTGCCACTAAACACATGTCTATCAAGGCCAAGGCTGCGGCCCCAAAGAAGCTGTCGAAAACGGAAGTCGCGCTTATGTAAACAACATGGATGAAGATGAAGGCAAACCTCAGCCGGCTTCAACAGCTGCATAGCCTTGGGGCCTTGTCGAGCCCCCCTCTCCGCAAATCAAACCTCACCTCTCAACTCTCAACCAAGTGCTGTAGCAAGCAGCAACAGAGCCCATGTTAATCGAAGCGTTTGACCTCCGGATGGCCGCTTCACTTTCTGCGTCTGGCCCTGCAAACAGGCATCCGGCACGCCAACACCATGACTTGGTATGCATGCGGACCATCGGAGGAGGCATGTAGTCCAGGAAGCGGGCAACGAGAAAGGCTGCAAGAAGCGACCTGGTGTTTGCAAGCACACCCTTAAAGCACAGGATGCCAAAATGGAATGGGAGCAAGAGAGAGGTAGGGATCGAAATAGGGAGATAGACAGAGAGAGAGAGAGAGAGAGAGAGAGAGAGATGCCGCCATGTTGCACAAGACCGCCCAACAGGGTCACGCCAGTAATGCCCGCATGCGAGTAGATGAGTCCTCCCAGTGTTGGTCCCACGATGAAGGCCCTGAGACAAGCAAAGTTTCTGTGCAACGCAGGCGGTCGCTGTGCAACAGGCATGCAAAAACTGCAAAAAGTGGAAAAGCAACGAAACTCTGCTCAGGTACATGGTCCCCGCAGCTTCTCCTTGCAAGGTGTGTGCATGAAACCTGCTTACTTGCTGAACCACCCTCAGCTCTTGGTTTGCAACGGCTTAAGATTGGCAAAAGAAAAACCAGCAGATCATCTGAGCAAGTCATGATTGAAAATATCGCACGCAAGCGGCGATTCGCCACCGCTCGCAGCATTGCCTCTGGTTCCAAGTCCGCAATGAGCGCCTTGATCACCTCTGTTTCGGAAGAGTACCGAGCTACTCGCTAAAGCACTCCAAAATATTCAGACTCAGGTAAAGTCAGGTAGCTACAGCTGCTCCAGCAAACATTCCGCTGGCAACGCGCAGTTGGAGGAATCTCTTGAAGGGCCAGTGAAACTTCAGCGCACATGCCTGGAGCCTTGGGTCAGCTGCTTACTGATGAAGCAGAGAAGTTTCTCCCCTTGATATGCTGCAATCCAGAAACAGGAAGCCAATGCCCACGCCAGCCAGGCATACGAGGAGCATAGGTTTGCCTTACGAATGCAGATTCAAGGCCACGACCTCGCCCTGCCTCACGCCCGGGAAATCCCGGGGAACCAGGAGACTCTGACAATTTAAACGTGAATCGCAACTGCAATCATCAATGCTCAACGATAAGCATCATTGCCAATTGCTCAAGTCAATCCAAGTGCGTCCGTAATTGTCACTACACCGGGGAAAGATCGACAAGGCCTCAGCCATTGCATCCACCCATGCCACGTGCCGAGCTGGAAGGCTATGCGACAGATCTACCTTCGTTCAAGCAGCCAGAACCATGCCGGTTGGAAACGCAGAAGTGATCAAGCCCGTCTGCGACGCAAGCAAGTTGAAGTGTGCCCTGATTGCCGGCAATATAGGTCCTGCCGAGGCAGGCCATGCTTCATTTACTTCAGCCTATGGGGTAACCCAATCGAGCACGTCAACGTGTAATGTGTCTGGGCGGTTCCTTGCATAGTGAAGCCCAGTAAATGCAGGAAGTATACCTGGCGGAAGCCGCTTCGCCATGGCTACATGTGGCACCTTCGAATACCAGAATGAGGAGCCTAACTTGCGTTTGGACTAGGTCGACTAGGGCAGACAAGCTTCGAAGCATATCCACGTCCTGAGCGCACAGTAGCATGAACGAAATTACTGCGAAAGGAGTGTTGCTCGCGGGGCAGGCATACACGAGGCGATGTGCCGGCTCAGGATTTACTAGTCCAGTGATGACATGGCAAACGCCAGCGGTTCTGTAGGCACCCGCATCAATGAAGTATGTGAACAGTGCATGGCTATCTGTCCACTTAGGCTAGCGTTGCAGCATCATGTTCCGTCCGTCCAGTTGAGCTTGCCTGTGCCACAACAGTCTTGATCAAGCTCTGCCTGCTTCTCAATCTCACCCTGCTGTGGAAAACAAAATTAGTGCAGTCATTTCACATCTTGGACAGGGAATCTTAAAAACTGAGCAGAGATGCACGACTTCACAGCATTGAAGCTACAGCAGCTGCAGATTCCAGCCGTGAGGCTTGATCTGGGCTGCCAGCCTGTCTTGTGGCACCTCTTTGCTCAGCCTGCAGGCACCCGCCCTAAGAGGCCCAAAGCATGAAGCCCTTACGCTTGAAAGCAATGAGCCGAGGATGAGGATTGACATTCAGGCCCTCCGCCTGCAGAGGAAAGAATTCGAGCTTCGAGGATTGCTCGGTACCCGCTGCTGGCGAACTATCAGTTGTGTCGGGGCCGTGCGTACCTCTTTCAGCTCGCCTGTTAGCACATAGCACTTTGACAAAAAAACATGGGGCTCATCAAGCTTTCTTACACAAAGCTAGCTCTCCTCCCAGTCAGTTGCAGACCAAGCGACGTTCCGACGGCAGGGGAGGCAAAAACGGACCTCTGGACCCTTCGCGCGCTCGCCCTTCATGCGGATCACTGAAGTCCAAAGCACGCTCCAAGCCACGTCGGTTGGCATCCATCTCTGAAATCTCGTCTTGACGCTTCTCACGCTTTGGCAGGAAGCGCGCCAGTAAAGCAAAGGAAATCGAAGATGCCATGAGCATATGCGTGGCCTGTTCCGACTCTGACGAGGCATTGTCAACTGCTGTCGCCAGACACGCTTCGACTTCTGGAAACAGTGCGATGTCCTGCAAGGCATGCGCTGCAACAGCTAGACAATTCTTTGAAGATCCATTCGATTCTATGCCAATTCTGGGCGGCGTAAGCAACGTGCAACATGCGGAAGCATCATCAAGGGTGCCGTCCTGTAGTATGACCGTGGGAGGCGCAAACCCAGGCACAAAGCTCGGTCCCCAAAAAAAGAGTGCCAGAATCGCCAGCAAGGCCCCCATGCGTCGCCGCAAGGCCTAGTGAAGCCATGAGCTTTGAATTGCAATGAGGACCCAATACTGACTTGAATCAGGTCAGCCACCTTTCGCATCATGGTCAAGTCTCCTGCTGCTTCGACATGGATGTCTTCACCTCTAAAGTGACTCTGACTCATGGTGAAACCAAGCGCCTCTGACGCTCCACACCAGGCCTGCCAGCCCTCTGACGCTTTGCAAAGCAGCATGGCAGGCGCGAGTTCAGCGTGCCTTCATGTGGTCTGTATGACTTTCTGAGAACTACTGCTGGTAATCATGAGTGTTCATGTAACTCACGCTCATTATGAACTATGAGTTGAAAAACTCTCGCGGCAAGACTTCATTTTTCTGTTTGCAAAGTTGTCCACCGTGGAAATGTTTTTTTCTGCTGCAAGGGCAGGCTGGCTTCTGACGGTGCTGTCCAGTCCGCATTTCATCTCTCCTGATCAGAAACGATGCCCATATCGGCGCAAACGGGTTGGAACCGACAGCTTCTCTTCATTCTCGTGCTGGGTCTGGTGCTCTGCTGCATGGAAGGCATCGAGGACCAGTAGGCGAGTACCATCAAGCAACGGCTGGTGGAGGACGTCCTGGCAAGTTGTCGAGCCAGCATTAGCTGAATGCCTCAGCCCACGAAGTGGTTTGCAAGTCTCCCGAAGCCTTGCCCTTGCCGTTGGACTTGGACTTGCCCTTGCCCTTGCCACGAACGGGTGCCTTGGTTGCCACCTCTTCCCAAGGTACCTGCATAGCCCGAGCAGCTGGGCAAGAACAGAAGCCTTGGTCCAAGAGGTCAATTTCCTGCATCTGCCGAGGCGTCAAGCCTGGCCCGCTGAGGGCCTTGATATTTCCCTGGATCCGCTGCGGGTTCACAGACTTAGGGATGACCACGAAGCCCTTCTGGAAAGCCCAGCGGATGCAGAGAGCGGCTTCGGAGCAAAGACTCTCTTGGGCCTTGGCTTGAGCGAGTGCCGCCACCTCAACTATGGAAAACTGGACCTGGGCAAGTACTAGGGGAACTGATGCAGATGTCAGGTTCATATTATATATTTGCTTGGTAACCCAATTTTCTTGAGCCCAGAGAACGAGCCGAGCCAGGTCGGTCGAGCCGAAGAGGCTCCCTCGTGCCAGGGGAGAGTAAGCCATCAAAGCTATGCCCAATTTCTGGCACAGACTCTCTGTCTCCCGCTGCTGCCAGAAGCAGTGGAGCTCGATCTGGTTGACCTCAGGGCATGCTGAAGCTCTTCCCGAGCAGCGGCCGTTCAGCAACAGTTGATCCTAATTACGCTACCTTCGACTGAAAACACACTGCTTCAGCTCCGGTTCGACCTCGGGCAGCTCTCGGCCTGAACGCTGCAGCTCCAGCAGCTGCTGCGCACCAAAGTTTGATACTCCAATAGCACGCGTGAGGCCAGAGTTGCGTAACTTGACGAGGGAATCCCATGTCTCCAATAGAAAGCCACCCCGGGGACTGTGAATCAGAAAGAGATCCACGTATTCTAGCTTCAAGCGCGCCAAAGAAGCTTTCAGAGCAGCTGCGGGATGGTTGCCCCCATGTTCTCGGCTACTGAGCTTCGTTACAATGAAAACCTCGTCTCTCTTTATCCGGGCATCTTGCAGGGCTTGTCCCACATCGGCCTCGTTGCCGTAGATCTGAGCTGTGTCGATCAACCTGTAGCCGACTCTTAAAGCTTCTGCAACAGCTCGCTGGCACTCGCCCCCTCGCTGGGATTGCCAGGTACCAAGACCGAAGCGAGGCATGGAAATGCCAGATCTCAGCTGAAGCATTGCATCGCTATTTGCATCGCTGTCGCGTACCTCTGAGGACTCCTGCAACTTCCTTGCTTCAGGGCACGCCTCCTGACGGGCTCCTCTCCAACCTCCCTGGACCTCGACCTGGCCAATGGCTTCAGCACGCCGGTGCCGCGACCAGCGGTTCGCGGCTTGGGCCATGGTGATGCAATCTCTGTCAACTTACTGCGTGCACCGGCCGGGTCTGGGCCTCTCTGAGTAACCGTTCCTTATGTGACTCACGATAGTCTCCAGAGAGTGCTAGTTCGATCCCGTAACACGTGCCTTCATGTAGGCATGAAGAAGTGCTCCACCGCACGTGCTTCCTAGTGGCGCACTTAGGACTTAGGCTTGAGAAGCAGGTGCGCAGGCTCATTTCAAACAAGAACGCGGGTCACATGGCTGTCCAACGACTGCGCGGCAACCCTTTTTCCGGTCACCTACCTGCAGCTACAGTGATCGCGGTGGCACGGCAGAAAGTCATGCTGAGGACAAGGGGCCATTCATGGGCTAATCAACTATTCTGAAAAAGGACATGTGCATCAGAACTTGGTAGAATACTTGTAAGGCGGCTAGGTAACTTTGTGAATACGAGCGCTCCCCAAACTCAGTCTTCATCTTCCACACCTGAAAGGCAGCGACCAGTAGTTGTCACGCCCATTTTACTTGGGGGGTGCTGAGGCTGGCTGAGCTTGCTGCGATCCAGCACAGGGACCCACCTTGAAGGGGCTCTTACTGGAATTTCCTGGGCAAGTGGCTGACAGTTACAACAGCTTGTCTTTCCCTTTGTGTAGACCCAACCAAGCGAAGATTGCTCACAGCTCTGGAACCTGAGAACCCCACGTTTCCTGTAGACTTGTTGTATCTGACCTTCTTTACCACCTCGCTGCCGTCCTGCGCAACCACACATTTCTTCGGGAAGTTCTGCAGGCCCACCATCATCGGACGGGTCGGGCATGGTCAAGTGTCCTTGAGAGCTTTCTTCTTGAAGCGCACACCTAGCAGTCCAGCCACCTCTTCCTCTTCGTCATAGTGCATGACCTGGGAGGACAGAGCTCTCCTTGCGAATGCAAGCGTGAAATCTGCTGCGAGCATCATCCTCACAAAGACTAAGCTGCAGGCCCAGGACGAGTGCATGGGGGCTTCAACCTGCTTAGCTGCTTTCAGTTCTGCACAGTTGCAGTATTCGTACACCGGCATGCTGAGCCGTTGCCCGCAGTTTCATAGGCTATCAAACCCGACATGCGAGAGAAAGCCCTCCCCACAAGTTCCCCACAGGTTGGGCATCTTGGGTCCACCTGCACTCGCTGGCCCACTTCATCCTCGCGCATCGGCCTGCAGAGTAACACCGCTGGCTTGCTTGCCAGTCAAGAACTTTTTATCATGAGGCCTGACATGCTTGATGCAATAGTTCACGCCCAGGCAGAGGATCTTGTTCCACTTCGGAAAAATCCTCAGAACTTCTGTCACCTGCAACCAGGTTTGGCTCAAGGTAAGAACAGCCGCCGAAATTCTGGCTTCAGCCTTGCCCTTGTCCTTGCCCTTCATGACTTGCACAGTGTCACCGGGCATGACCTAAAGCAACATGTCAGAGACCTCAAGGACATATTTGCGGGAGCCAGGGTCCGCTCGTGCATCTTGTAGCGAACTGGCTTGTTTGTTTTGGGGTTCACCCTGACAGCAATCTGCCGACCATTGAAGATGGGCCTGCACCAACTCCGCGCCATGCCCAACTTATAGCTTTCGTGCGAGTTAACAAAATCGAAGCTTGAGCTACAGAAGGCGAGTCCAATCTCCAAGGCTGGCCTCTTCCTTCCTGCACGCATACGTCGCTTGTTCTTGGGGCTTCCGGCCTCAGGCAAGAAGCAGTGTCACATGTGAAGCAGAAGCCACCCGTCTCCCGAGCCCCCTTAGGGTCTGCGCTGGCGTGGTGGGTTTTGGCGACCTACGAGAACCAGTCGACAGCCGAGAGGGCAGTGAGAGCCCGAGCAAATTGGCTGTGTCAAAAAAGCTTGCTGGAAGCTGGCTGCATCCCCTCCCCCAAAAGCTCCCGGCTTTGCCTGGCATGCATGATGACCCGTGAGCAGGCCCCGGTTTGGCTGGGCGTCCGCCTTACAAGTCAAGCAAATCTAGCAATCGTTGCTGAAATCTCCAATGCCCAACGAGTGCCTTTGAAGGCTCGGGGCCAGCATGGTCAGAGCAACCAGCCCTGCCCAGGCCAAGGAACCAGGCAGCTGAGTCTCAGCCTCAGCGGTTTTGGAAGGTGATCTGAAAAATGTCCAAAGATCTCAGATTGGAGCTCTAGCTCGAAACGCAGCCCCACTTGAGGTTGGGATCGCTGTGGCTGTGTACGGCGCACCTGCTTCAGGGATCTGTCTGGATGAGACACACAAAGGCTGCTCATGGCCTCTGGTGGACACCTGCGCCTTTGTGGACACGAAGCCTGCCTCTGACCTTAACTGGAGCTCCTACGTTGTTCCGCGATTCTCTTCGGAATTGATGCCACGTGAGCTCTACCAGCAAACCAGGTGCAGCAGAGAATGGCAATGCCGTGGAGAATAGCTCAGCACAAAGCCTCGCAAACGTCCAGGTCCAGCCTTGCGCAGAGATGAGCTACTTTCATTATGTTGATGCGGAATCTCACTCCAGCTTGCCGTGTATTCCGCGAAGTGTTTGGGAGCAGCATGTCAAGTCACTCACCCAAGTGTACCCAGACACTCACAACACTGCTCTTACAGCATCCGACATTGATTAAGCTGTACTGTAGTGCTCCCTGGGTACTGGCTACCATGCCTGCGAAACGTTGGTCCATATGGCAGATTACATTCTGCCAGCTCATCATCGTGCGACCAGAGGGGCCGCAGTTATACCATCATGAGCGAGCCGAGCCATTTGTCGAATTGCATGCTTGCAAGCTTGCACTTCGAAACTCGGGCTGCGGCACACGCAGGCTACAGCCACACAGGCCTCAGGCTCAGCCACACTCAGCCAGGGAATGGGGAAGGTTTGCCACAAAGTCCCGGACCAGGCCCGGACGCCTCTCAAAGAAAAGAAAGTTGACAACAAAAAAAAGAAGTCCCCGCTCAAGCACACGGACGCAAAAAGGTGCCTCCTGCTCAACGATCCTCACACATTCTCTCTGCATACTTGAAACTCTCAAGAGAAAGATCTCTCAGAGGTCCTGATGGTAGGGGCATGGCAGCTCCAACCCGCCTCAAACCGCTGGCGGGACGGTCAAAGCTGCGAGAATGGCAGCTGCGATAAAGTCGTGTTCAGTCCAGGCATGGACAACTGCAGTATTGCAAGCTCATAATTGAGGAAAACGGGAAAAGCAATTATAGTCTTGCTGTACCCTGTGATTCCGACAGCACAGCATAATGCTACTAGTCTGCATGCGAGCATGCTTGGCATACTCAGCTTGGACGTGCACCTCCTTCGAGGTTCCGCCCTTTGCCATACTGCAGCGCGGCCGCTCTAACCATGCAAGCAGAAATAAACTTCAGCATCGGCACTTTGCCAAATGCACTTTGTATGTGATGCCCAGGTGGCAAAATTCAACCTGGCATCACGCTCTGGTGGGTATGCGCCCTCTCCCTTATCAAAGACCTTCTGGTGACTTGTCAACTCAAAACTATACGAGAACCAGATGCGCTCCTTGCAGGAGCTTCACTTGCAACTCACAACGTGTCCGAGTGAACCACGCCGGGTGCAGTCCTTGGCTAAGCAGCAAGAGACAGTCTCATAGATGCCTTCGTAAGGTGCCCATCCTCCACTCACTTGTACTGATTCTGATAAAATCACATGACATGGTTGAGGCTGAAGGGTGCTGGCTCTCTGCGCATGCTGAGAGATAGATCTGTCAAGGCACCATGCACGCTCCTCCAGCAAGAACCAGCCTTTGCTTTCCTGGAGCGCCTTAAACCTCAGCTAGCGCTGTTACGAGGAAGTAGAAGGCAGCACCTCGCTTCACGAAATCTGCTGCTCGCAACTGGGATGCGCGACGCTGCTACTGTGACTTTGGTCTCACACACGTCATGTGGCGTCATGCTTCCCGTCACATAGACCGCCCCTTAGCAGCTGTCGCATGACACCGACACGTTGGCCTTGCAGGTAGTTACGTTGAATTTGCTGCTGGTCTCTGCGGGAGGTGTGATGTGATGACTCGAGAGTTGGTCTTCGAGGCTCCACAAGGCTCCACTGCAGAGGCGGGGCAATGAATTTTCGAGGTTCATGTGCCATGCCAACTTCTGTGGCAGGGCATGGAACCTCTGACAATTAATCAGGCACAAGGAGCGCCTTATGCGCTGGTGTGCAACGGTCATTAAACTTTTTGGGGGCGTCCTGGCATCCCACCTTTGGGGAAACTCCGAGGAGAAAGCTAGGCACCCGCTGCTGGGAACAGTGCGCTGGCCTCAGAGCACAGCGGAGCGTGCATACTTACTGTTCCAAAGCTTCATCTGGACATGCCGGCAAAGGCAAGTGTCATACTGTCATACCCAGGTTGTTGCACAAAACGCATGAGCACAGCCCGTGCAGGACTGCACCAATCTGCAAAATCAAGCAGCTCTGCCGAATAAGCCGTTGGGCTTGTCTGCGTCTGCCTTATGTGGGCGACGGGTGTGGGCTTCTTTCTGGGCAGCATCCAAGCTGAACAGCTCACATCACCAGGTCACACGTCGGTCCCAAACACTTTAACAAGCCAAGCTTCGCGCTTCAACTTAACAAGATGAGGCATACACCACAACTGCTGAACTTCCCCAATGCAAGGCACCTTTGCAGCAGCAAGGAGGCATGAGCGCAGCTGACCCGTACGTTGCTTGAAGGCAGGGAAAAAGCCTCAGCAGCAGAATGCGACAGAGCCAACGTGGGACTTGCCATCTCAGACAAGAACCAAGCAAGGAACACCCACACAAGCAAACACTGAAACTGACCTTACAGCCAAGAGTCTATCAGCTTGCTTTTGCACCTTGCCAAAAGTTGCAAAAACCTGCCCAAGGTTTGCTCAAGGCAACTGTCGTGGCATGGACTGTCAAAACCTAATCATTAAGCTGTGGCATCAGCCTCTGCAGGGATGCCCCGCCCCTGCTTCTCCAGCCACGTGTTGCAACTTCTCTCCACGTCTGCCGTGAAGCTGCCGACTGTAGCAAGCAGCCGTGGCGTTCGTGTGAAGTAAAGGCCTGGACATCCCGGCGTTTTGACCCGGTGCTAGCAAAACCCCCTCTCTTTTATATGGATTCCCTTATTCCCTTGTAAGTCCCAGCAAGTTAGCGCGCCTGCGAAGAGCTCCAGGGAGGCCAAGGCCAGCTGGACGATCCAGGGAAAGAAGACCACCAGCGCCTTACTTGCCAGAGGCAAGTTGTCCACCTCAGCGCTAAAGTCGCCCAAAAGTCTGAACAGCAAAGACAGCTTCGTGCTGCACAAGCTGCTTCTGTGGGCTGTCGACTGTCATCATCCTGATGCTTGGCAAAGCAACCAAGGAGGAAGGCTGAGCTTTGGAATGACCCAGCAGGCTCTGTGGTCATGTATCTATCAGCGCAGGACACGCCCTCCTGCATGGTGAAGGAGGCATGCGGGAAGCGCGCCTCTCAAGCAGTTCAGTCCAACCTATGCATACAATCTGGGTTTCTCAGAAGTATGTGCCCCTCCTGCAAGTCATTCAAAAACGCTTGTTCTTGAGCCTGTAGGCGGCGGCCCAAGTCCCAGTCCTCGAATAAGTTAGGAATCATAGTCCTAGCCGTCGCCATGCCCTTGCGCAAAAAGTTCTGGTGGCCAGTGCTTGTCAACCCTTGGTCAAGCGACTGGCCCGCCTACCTGCGAACAAGCCTCCAGCGGATTATCGTCAAAAGCTGAAGGAGCAGGGGACGATGCCGGCGGCGTAGATAGACTGGATGCTAGATCCGCAGCCAGCACCTGCAGGTCAGGAAGCAAAGCATCAGATCAACCATTCTGAAGGTGGGCTTATTGAAATGCACCTCCGAGAAGATGAGCCCACCCAAGTTCAGGATCAAGATGACAATAAGCGGCAACTGGACCTGAAGTGACTGGCAAAAGGACTCGATTCTTGCACGAGCAGTGGTGTTCAGTTGCGCCGGCTGGGCGCAAATTTAATGATCCCAAATCAATCCTGCCATGCGGCCATCCAGCAATCGAATGCGGATCTTTGCGTCACCAGTTTGCCCAGCCGGTGTTTCCTGGGTGCACTAGGCCCGCAAAATGGACAGGGCAGCTCAAATTCGATTGCATGGCCTTCAATCTTGTTCAGGCGGTTCAGGATCGGGCTGGGGCTTGTGAAGGGCTTTTGACCCTGGCCCTACCTCACCCGGATCAACCCCTCCAGCTTGTATTTTTTTTGCCTCTCGACCGCTCCTAGTGAATCAACTCTGCAGCACACACGGCTGCCACCACGGATTACATCATTAGCAACTCCATCAGTGCCAAGAACATCAGTGGTGCCATCATTGTCGGAGCTGTGCTTCCGCTACCGTGCCGCCGCTCCCTCGAATGCTAACCCAAGCTTCTGAATCTGATCCTCAAGGTGCTCAGGTAGCGCTGCCTGCAGTCAGGTCAAAAGGAATCAATCTAACAATAGCTGCACAACGGGCATGGCATACGTTGGGCAGACGATGCCTCGCGGTACTACTACAGCATGGGCAAAACAAAGTCTGTTCATAACGAGAACTGCGAAATGATAATGTTAACACAAATGTACCCGTAGGACTGAGCCATTGAAAACATTGGCAGCAACCATAGCAGCAGCTGCGGTCGCGGCAGAGGCAGCGCGCTAATTCGACATGTCAAGCGTCACGCATCAGAATCATTGAAGTTAGGTTTTATGATCCATGTCCTCTTCATCTTCCGTGCGCCTTTGTCTCTTCCAGGAAGTTGCTGATCCGCCCGGCACCTTGGCTGCGCGGCCCTGACTTCCGTTTTGTGCAGCTCAAGTACAACCTCAAACCACTCGCTCAATACTTGGGGTGGACATGCAAGAGACAGGATGAATGCGCTGAGTTCGCTGCACTCCAGTATCGGTTCACGCAAACTGCGGGTAGACGGCACCTCGAAGTCTGGGACTGTTTCCTTCACGTCCTTCTCATACTCCTGACATCAAAACATGCTGCAGTGATTACAAGACCCAACCCTGCCCGCCAGCTATGTCCTGCATGCGCTTGAACATCGTTGCTTGCTCCGCTTCCACCATGTCCACAGCGGACTCCAATGTTTCAATTGGCTCGGCCAGCTTGCTTCCATAGCAGTCAACCGGCTCATCAAGCGATGAAAGTAGCCTGCCTTGCATGTTGTACAAATGAGGCCGGCTCGCAAGAACCCTGCAACTCCCATCTGCTTGCAGCTCCAATGCCGACAGCACCGTTCAACGCAAGGAAGATCCATGACAGCTGATGCGTCCAGGCGTAAGCCAAAGCCACAAAATGCAACAACCTCGGTGCAAAGAGATCCTTCAAGGGCATGTCATTGCCCTGCTCTTCTATCCCAAATCAGTCAAGGTGCCAGCTAAAGATTGCGGCCATCAGGCTTGACACATTCGCATCGATAGGACCTCTGAGCATCAAGAGCCACGCTAATGGGCCAGTATCAGGGTACCTAAAACATGCTTAAGCCAATCACTTTCTTAGATGGCTTCAGTTTAGGCATCTGCCTGCAGCTGAAGTGCTTATGGTCAAGAAGCCGGTGATGACGAAAGCCACGGCAGCTGCTGCCCCTGTATAACGAATCATGGCATTCCGAGAGGGGTCGGTCTCAATCTCCCCCTCCTGTGATCAACGAAGCACCGCTCCAAAGCCACACTACCATCACGACTATTATGTACTAGTATCTGCCATTATTACTGTCACTACTATTATTCCTATTCTTACTACTAGTACTTTAGTACTATGTTTATTACTGCTATTACTATTACTGTACTACTATATTACTATTGGTATTCCTGGTATTACTATTCGTATTATCAGTACCATTACTACTATTTATTTTGCTTTTTTTCATGTTTTTCATTTTTTCGGTTTTGTCAATACTATTGATGAAAAAAGGCATCCAGTGATCCAGTGGCCAGGCCTCGAGAGTTTGCGTGGTGCTGCCTAGGCCAGGAAGTCAAGCGCTCAACAAAAAAACGTAGCTCCCTAATATATAAACAGTAGTTCAAGGAATGGACCCTTATAGTAGTCCCTAAACCCTAATTAACTCCTTAAACCCTAAACCCTAAGTAGTAGTTTCCATTTTCCCTTCCATTATCCCTATATGACCCCAAAAATGGCAGTGACTAGCCTTTGGTTAGCTACGAATGAAGGAATGGACGCTTATGGTAGTCCCTATATAACCCCGTATAGTAATTTCCAATTTCTTTTCCATTCCTTCATTCCCAGCTACCCAAGGGCCAGATGACTGGACACTTCACCTCAGCACTATATTGGGGAAACCTTATTACTTACTATATATACCCATTATGGTAACTTAATTCAAGTTCCTTAACAGAAACCCAGCCACCGGGAAGCATTCCCTCCTCAAGCTCGGCCGTGCTTCCTGATCCCTCGATGCTGCCCTGCCTTATGCGCGGGCGGGAGGAAAGAGCATGCCGCTGACATGCATGCTGTCTCACCTCCCTTTCCCATCGGCCTCTCCGGCAGGGACACCAAGCTGCTTGTCCGCGCCTGGCGCATCTGCAGATACCTCGGCACTTGAAATACAGATAGTTCGGCATGGGCTGACACCTCATTCTACGTTATCCCGTTATCCCTATACCTCTTGCAATATCAGCAGCAAATCTTCGCCTCGAAGGTTCCGGACCTCATCCAGGACTTCCTGGACCAACGGCCACTCGATTCAAACATGTTCTGCAAAGTTGCCCAGCCAACCGCTCTCCTGGAAACGCTCTGGCTCCAATCGCGGGAGCCGGAATCGTAGCTTCGGCACATTGGCGTGGAGGAGTTCGCTCATCCGGGCTTCCTCAGAAGAAGGTGGATTACCGCGTGGTGCAGCAGCTTTGCTGCCCTTAAGCAGCGGGATGCCGCACCATCAGGTGCAACAACGTTTGGTAAGAGCATATGGGGTTCATGTGACAGCTGGCTGCAGGCCTTACAAAATGAGCTGAGCTTCTGCCTCCACGAGCTTTGGCTGGCAAGCCTTGCAGCTTGAGTTTCAGTGCATTCGTTACAAGTGGGATGGTTTGTATACTAGAAAGTTCTCGGCTGCATCCTCCGGCAGCCCCACGCAAGGAATCCAACGCATGACTCATGATAGCTTTCATGCACATCTTCCGTGCCCATGATGAGCGCGCAAAGTGTGTCAACTCCAAAGCAGGCTTCGCCAAGGGCTTCTACATGCTTCTACCTTCAGTTGGTGCAGCGAAAGACTCTTCAGGATGCCATCAACTGCCGAAGAGAAATGCGGATCACACAACACCAACTCCAGCATCAGGACCCTGAGAAGACGTTACCCCACTCTGCCTGGATCTCCTCCAGTGCGCGGGCAATCCGCGCGTCAGGCTGGCGGTTCCTGGCACATTGGTACTGTCCTTTCCCTTCCCGCAGAGGTCGCGGATATGACACATGTCACCTCGTCACCGCAAGGCACTTTGCCCCTGCAGCATCTGCTCTGCACAGCGAGGGCACCGCTTTCAGCAGCGTGCTCATGGCAACAGGTACTTATGGCGAGCGACGAACCAGAACTCCGTGATTTCACATGCACTAGCCAACAGTGAAGTTGTGGAGCTAAGAGCCAAAAAACTCGGAAGAGCTTGCAAGCTTCTTCTCACGAGGATTGTCCAGGGCCACCTGTCCCAATGGAACAGTCTGGGACGAACACATTTCCGAAGCGTGGACCTCATCCCCCACCTCAAAGCAGCTTCGCATGAAACAACATCGACATAGATTTTCCGAAAAGGACATGCTGTACCAGCTGTGACTTATCACCCAGGCTCAAGGCATTCTTATCTGGATGCCATCCTTGGCAGGCGAAGATGAGAAGATAGGTTGCACACACTGCCTCAAGCTCTGAACAACCACTGAGGTGAGGCACTGAGCTGCAATTCTTTGAACAGCTTCTTCCTGTCTGCGTTTGTCGTCATGCCTTGGTTCTCTTCAAGACTAGAAGGGATCAGGCAGTGGTGATCTAAGCAGCATGTGAAGCTCACATGCAAGATGGAGCCAAATTCTGTACTTCGCGGACTGTCGGCTTCTGAGGTGTCAACGCCTAACGTGCCGAAGGTGCTGGACCTCAATGAATTTTGAAATGCTAGTACTCACAGCAATAGCACTAATAGTATAGTAGTAGCTGTAACAATATGTAATTTTAGTGATGGCAATAGTTGTAAGATGAATAATCTAACTGTCATGCAGCTGCGTGGAGGCCTTCTGGTTGCAACGCGTCTACATTTGGTAGGTTCCCAAAACAAGGGCATCCTCGATATAGACTCTAAGATACCATAGTCCTAATAATTGGGACTCCAAAAATGGTGTCCCCAATTTTGGGAAACCCCAATTACTGCTTCATGCAGCCAGAACGGAGCTTGTTTTGATGACAAATGCGTAGTTGAGCTTCTGTACCCGCAACGCTTGTCATAGGAGCAGTGCAAGCAACAAGCTTGCAGTCCGTCTACCTCTCTGCCAGCAGCCTAGGACTGTTGCACGTGGTCATGCTGTGGTTCCAAATCTCATTTATTACTCCTCCCCCAACTGCAAGGAAAAGTGTAGAAGCGGAAACGCAGAAGTTCTTCAAACGTCTTGTTTTCTCTGCTGCATCTCAGACGATGCAACGAGCAGTCCCATTCACTTGGGCATCTTGGTGAGGACTCAGAACTCCAAAGAGGCTTTGAGTCACCGTTTTGGAACACGAAGAGCTCAGATCTGCCCGAAAGCTTTCGCTTTCATCGCTTTCGCATCTCTCAGACTTGACATACGCAGCACTACTATGTGCAACTTCTTCTTGTAGTAGTTCTTGCCGTGCTCATTGCTTGCTTGCACCAAGCGGAGCCATCTCTTCGGATGCTCTACTCAGGATATTGCACGTCTTGTCCTGGATCGGGGTTTCGGTTGCCCGCCGCTGAGACCTCGTCGTCTTTCATCCAGGCACATCTTTGAGGGGTAGCGTTGATGCAAAAACTCGCTGCATGAAGTCACCTTCAGGACAAATGCTCAATGTACCATCAAGGCTAAATAGTAGCACAGGCTGTTCTTGCCGTGTTGCTGGTGGGGGCTCCGTCAAAGCAGTGGAAGGCGAAACCCAGCGTGACGAGCCGCTCAAAGAAGCCCAGGTGAGCCAAATGGTAAACCGGTGTGCCCCAACCGGCCCGCAGGTCACCGGATCCTGGGTTCTTTTATGACTGCTGTTCCAGTGCTGCCAATGCATTCATCCAGTCCTGCGTCAGCTGCATCGAGAAGGCAGCATGCCGCCTCGATCATCATGGTTGCGGTGCCCTCATACCTGGGCCATTGCAAAAGCTCACACAGACTGAGTCATCGTCCAGCCGGGACAGGCGAAAACAAAATCCGGCCAAATCTGCAGCTCAACCACCGGTCCCCAACACCACCAGGCCCTGCAGCATCAATTGTCAATAGGTTTACATGGTGTGATACTCGCAGGTAGTGAAATTCACAGCGAAGCACCTGCATTCATAACAATGTGCATCTTCGGCTCGTTCGCAAGGTCAGCAACACCAACGAAAACCTGACGCTGAACCGAACCAAACTCGGTATCGTGCAGCTGTCACCTTTGGGGAAAGTCTGTGGCAAATCACAGCCGCGTTGCCTTTGTTACAAAAGTCTCCTGTCGAATTCTCTCCTGCCAAGCGGAGCAAGTCTTTGCTGAATCAGCGTGCTGAAGCAGCAAAAGAAAAGGTTTTCGTCTGCGCAAATGGAGGTCCTTGGGGCCCCAGCCAGGTGGCGGGATCTTCTTGGCTTCCACCATCATGCTGTGGCCAAGCCCCCCGCCCAGGCTGACGCCGATCCTCAAGCAGTGACTCGGATGAGGAAAAGAAGCTGTGCAACAACTATTCAGCGCTGTCTGAAAAACGCCAGACATGCATCAAAGGTTCCCTGACAATCGCGAGGCTTGTGCACTTTCCTGCCTTGTCATCCTCAGCCCACAAGCAGTTCGTCTGATAAAGCCCCGGCCTTATCGCAATGCAGCTGAAGGCACTCCTCTGGCCGCTTATCCACCACTAAAAACCAGTCCTGTAGTCAAGTGTGAGTTAAACATGCGGGCCATGGATGTCCGGCCTGTTGCCTTGAACAAAAAATTCTGGCCATATGGTTCCAAGGCATCCAGCAAGCCACAGGTGCCACGGACCTTGCTGCCCGAAACTGCCAACTTTCCAACGGCAAATGGCAATGAACCAGCATCAACCAGCTCCTAGTCCAGCTCGGCTGCAACTTGTCTGTCCACGTTCAGACCCGGGTAAGCTATCATCGAGGAGTTCCTCAGTGCCAGATAAAGTCAGGATCCCGCAGCACATGCATAGAAACAAAATGCCACTCACGAATTTGCCAAGCCTAGGCCTAGTCACTCATCTTTGTGCGGCGGATCTGCGCGATCTTCAGTCCGCACGCCGCAGGGACGAACACCTCCAAGAACAAAGGGTGCTCCTGCTGCGTGTAGGTCCTCACGCTGCAAATCATGGCATGCCCAAAAGGGTACGCATGGATACATGATGTGCAAGGCAAGGGGGCCACCGAAAACATGGTTCTAGCAGTCCTTCATGGTGGTTTTCGTACCCGTCAGCAAGCTCGTGCCGCTCATCACGAAGCCTGGTCAGCTCTGAACATGAAGAGTCGAAGTACTCGCCACCGGTAGTGGGCCTTGTGTGTAGGTGTAGACATCCACTTTTTTGGTGTCAGCCCCAAGACTCGTGCGGATGTCATGCACCAGCCGCCAGACCTTGGGGGTAACATCCATGCCGATACCATGACAGGAAGTGCCAGCCCGTCCAAGTCGAAGTCTCCAAAGTCTGTCGGAACAGACACGTAGCCGGCATGAAGAAGCAGACAAACGCCAGCTGCCTAGCTTCGTCTGCTGGCGACTCCACGATGCAGATTCTGCGAACAAATTGGCCAGCCTTTGCCGCAGGGCCAACTGTGTCCTGGGCCCAGGAAACTGATGGATCAACACGGAGCCAGTTCTGACTTGTTTGCCTGCCTTCATCTCCTTGGAAAAGAGAATGTCGCCCGTGTTGTCCTTTGTTAAAGTCAGGTTGGGAATTCCCAAGTGCAACAGGAGATGCGCGACCGTAGCAGATGCAGGTGAAGGTCTATGAGGTGCGTGCCTGTCCTTACGCAGGCCTCAAAGCACGACACGATCAGGAAGACTGATGAGCGAGCATTGCGGAGCAGGCAAAGGAAAGTGCCAGCCTCCGCCACACCTAGCCCAATGTCGTGGGAAGGCCCAGTGCAGTCCAACACCACGCGTGCAACTCCCACCACCCGCTCCAAGTCCTCAGGAAGTTTGTGAAAGCCACCACCGCTAGGTGCGTCAGAAAGGTCGGGGTCTACATTCTACAGCTTATGTAGCAGGGCATCTTGCCGGCTCTCGAGTCGCAAGGAGTTCTGGAAAGAGCCGCTCTGTCCAAACTTGTGCTCCAGCAGCCTGGCGCGGATACAGACGCTGGCTGAAGCTTGTCAGGTCGAGCTTTACAGTCAGTAGAGGAGCTGCAAGCGGCGCCCGCTTCGACCAGCAATTGCCCAAGAGCGTCCTCTCGACTGGCGTTGCATGACCTGACTGACTACATACAAATTGCACCTTGGCTCTCCACTGGACATCATCTCAAAAAGGAAAGTGTGCGAGATCTGCAATTAATGTGGCGGGCCCTCAGGCAGCCGGAGAGCATCTTCAAATTCCCAGGGCGGGGAGAAGTCTCACAGCCCGTGGCCGCTGCTTGGCGATGTCTACTTCTGCCAAGCGGCCATGCAAGCCATGGTCCCAGTGATGCCTTGCACCAGGGCACGGCTCACATGGGGGCTTCAAAGAAGACAGGGGACACAAAACTTGACGAAACAGTCTGGTCCAGATATCATGTGAGTTCCGGCGCAGAAACACATGTAAGGATCTATGACTCAACTCCACGCACAACGCACAGAGCCCAACTTTAGCACCTGTCGCCCCCAAGATCAGGATGTCAAGTCTTGGGTCGGGCAGTTTTGACGGGACAGCAGGCTTCGACTCCGCATCCAGATCTGGCTCGATTTCTCCGTAGATTTCCTCCCAATCTGACCTATGAGCAGCAGATAGCACAGCAATCTGCAACCGGGCGGAAATGGGAGGGAATCTGCTCGGTGCCACTTCGTATACCTAGCAAGCCATCACCACTTAGACTCTCGTGCTAAGATTCAGGACACAGCCGTTGCTGCAGGAAACGTCAGAAAAGGGAGGCGATAAAACAGACGGACGGACAGTTACACGCACACGAAGACACATGAGAAGAGGATGCATGACCGCTATATCTAGAACAGGAAGTGAAAAATAGAGATAGAAGAAGGCAGCGACATGAATTCGCAACATGAGCTTCAGTGACTGCAGCCAGAGATGTGAGCCTTGCTGCTAGTTTGTCGTGGCGGTGGGGTGCAGCAGTATCTTGGGCCCAGACCACCAGGCAACATTGACGGTTGGAGTGAGGAATCCATGTGCTTCATTGAAGGCACGGCGCTGATAAGGATCAAGCAAGAACTCCTTTGCTTGCGTCAGCTGCCGGAACCTGCAGCAAGGGCTAAAGAGCATTGTTCCACTCAAACTTGCAGTCCACTCCAACAGCTGTGTATGTCTATGTCTACTATCCTGTGGGGCAAACAAAGCTCTTGGGACTGCTGCACGCCACTTGAGAGGCCTGTCAAGCTCTTACTTGCTGCGCTTTTGGGGAAGCAACTTAGATTTAGACACATTTAGACCTGCTTCAGGGATAATGATGCTGTACAGTGCGCACACTTTGGAAAAGACAGTCCTCGTCGCAGCAGCTGCATCTCCTGCAGGGTTTGTGGGACCCTTCCGTGAACGTAAAGTACGCTGGCAGGCTGCAACCATCAGCAGCCCAAAACAGTCCTGGACAGCGATCAGGATGCACTTTGAGGGAGAGCTTGCGGAAGGTAGACTTAATTGTGGCGTCTGTCGCGTCATACGGAATGCCAAACAGTTGATAGGGATCAGTGTGGTAAGCATCGAACTCCTGCAAGTCTGCCAGCCATTGACCGGCTTCGGATTTGGCTTCCCTTGATGGCTCCACGGATGGCTTTGGTGCCGAAACAAGCTCCACAGACGCGTCCAGCGACCCTTCCAGAGAGGTGCACGGCAGCAGCACGTCCAAGTCTGCCAGCAGCCGGAAAAGCTCCAACTCCGATGCGGCCTTCATAGGCTTTATGCCGCTCCGACCACCTTTGCTGCGCAGCTCCGAGTTCAGTGCTTTCCGCCCAAAAGCGAGCTACATACTGGAAGCTCTGCATGGCCAGGTGCACGCGTCTTCCAATGTTTCTCGGCTGGGTAAGCATACTCGGTGCGCCAGGGAGCGCCCCTTCAGCGCAATACTCACCTAAGACACAGCTCTAGGGTTTCACCGCTGCGTGGACCTTTACAGCCAGAGTCCAGGAAGAGCTTCAGGTCATGCATCTACATCCCAAGACCACAACAAGGAGGGCTCTTTCTGTTAAATTTTGACCCGAGAGGCCCAGCCCTCCGCAGGCCCGGAGCCAGCAACAAGTCTGTAGCGCAGCCGGCTGGTCAGAAGCTGAAGCTCCTGGCAGGTACTTGACTGGGCTTTGCCTGTTCACGGGTAGGCTTGCCCCGAAGCAGGCAGACCCTTCCACATGCTGACCAGGGGAACTGCCACGTCTAGTGCTTCTGCTTGCCTGCTGCTTCCGGCTGTTGCTCGATTCTGGCCGCAATTTCGGTACGTGGTAGCACCATAACTGTTCCTCATCGTCATCTTACCCTCCTAGAGGCAGAAACAGCCCACAGCATAACTTGAGAAAGTTGCAATTGGCAGGAGGAACGCAAGTTAAGGTTTGGTGTGAGCCACAGGAAGACACATGAACACGCACCGGCAGGAGGATGAGATGTAGGAGCAATGTAAGACAATGTAAGACATGCGGAGAAATCTCAGCAACGTCCTGGACCACAGCGCCAGTCGCCAAGCGGTCCTGGACCTGCAACAGTATCGGCAGGAATGGTTTTGTGAATGCTCACAGTAACATGCCATCCTGGATGGGCAACCATCTCGTGCGGCTTCAAATCTGCATGTTACATGCTTGGCGCATCGCCTGGGGTCAGAATTCAGGCGCCATTTCCGTGGGTTGCTTCGCAATTGTGTCATGCATCGTGATCCTCGAGAGGTTGCGGGGTTTGCTCGAAGACATTTCATTGAGTGGCGCCCCATCCTGAACAGAGCCAGAGCGCCATTGCCATGGGCTTCAAGGTTGTTGAGTCTCCTTCCTCAAACCTTGCTCTGGCTACCAGACTATTGCTACTTCCTTCAGCCAGGAAGAGGCCCATGGCCACATGGCTAGTTGATCCTGGTGATGCTTTCTGCCTCCTGGGAGTCGAGGCCGCTGCCCTCCCGGACAAGCAGCCCACCCTTGCCATGGCCTCTGCCAAAGCGAAAGACGCTGTTTTCTGGTCTGCCGACTTGTTGATGATTCAAGTCCCGCCTCCAGTGATCTGCCACAGCTGGGCCATCAGCTTCAACCATGGCACAGCAGCACCGAGGGTGCGTTAAAATCTACAATGGTCAAGGTGAAGGTTTGTGAGCTCCGATTGTTCTTCTGTGCATGGTTTCTGTGCATGGTAGGTTGCAACGCAGGCTTTTTTCGGGCTGCTTCATACAGGCTCCGCCAGAAACAGCAAGCCCAGGATGCCGCAGTATCAAACGTGCTGGGACAAACCTGAGCTGCCTCAGACTGACAGTGAAGGCCGCGGCAAACTCTTGTGCATTGGTCTCTCTGTCCAAGATGCCATACTCCACTTCCAGATGCGGAGCTGTATCTGCTGGCGTACCTCTGTAGGGGCAAGCTCATGTAAGGTCCATTGGCTACTGTAGAACTTCTCCGGGGCCTACACAAGCTGCTACTTCTGTGGTCGTTTCAGAAAAACCAGCCAATATAGCGAAACGCAACGGTATCCCTTGCAGATGGGAGACTGGGACGATCGTAGAGACCATGGCCTGGCAACGCAGACCATACCTGCAAAGAAGCCTGGCCTCAATATCTGGGTTTCCATTTCCGATTTTTGCCCAAGGTCCCGCTGCCTGCTGCTCCATGAATCCCCACGAAGACAACTCAAATGCTAACTGCGGGATCACCTAGCTCTCGGCAATATTCCCTATGCAGCTTTTCAGACACGAGCGAATGGCCTGGTACGGATGCCGCAAAACCACCTTTGTCACAGCTTCTGGCTGCTAGATTCCAGCTCTTTCTGCTTGAGGGGTGGCCACTAGCGGAAGCTTGCGAGCAAATGTGCAAACATATGCATGTTCTGAGTCGGCCACGCCGGAGCGAGGGCGGCTTGGGGCGAAAGGGGACCTCACCGGGATCCCACATTGACAGGGCACAACAATCTGTGACTACTTCTAGCTTCCTGAGAAGAAACACTTGCTTGGTACACGTCTGCGGCCAGGCTCGTCAACTTTTTTGATCGCCCACGGCATAGGGTCAAGAGCTGTACGACTCTCTAGTCTTTTCGAGGCCTCTCTTATCCGGGATCTCCCGCAAGTCTGCTGAATGATCTAGTGGCGAGAAGACTTGGATCCCGAAGGAGGCCCGGTGCAGTCGCGCACCTGCTGCTACTGCGAACACTGTGCTATTCAGCCAGCAAAGGGTCACGGTCTCATCTGATTTCGATTGAGACTGCTTGTGCCGGCATGTGCTACATCTTTCCTCGGAGCCCAAGACGAATCTTAAGCAGAACCGCTGAACGAGTACATCCCAGTATCTTGCAACTGCTCCAGCTAGTTGGTTAACCTATTCTTCGGAGCATGTCATCCTACTTTCAACCACCAAGTCCAGGGTAGACCGAGGACCAAGGGAGATCGAGAGAGAGCCCTGCGCAAAGCCTCGAGGTCCGCTCATGTCTTTGGACTCGTACTTTGGCTCACGTATGCTCACGTGCTATGTCTTCGCATCTTCCTTTTTTTTCAGCCCATTTCGCCTCACCTCGCACCTGGAGCTCCCGCTCCTGCTGTTCCTGCTGCTGCTTTGCTGTTTTTCCAGTTCCTGCACAGGATTCGAAAGCGTCAAAACAAGCAGGCCAATTTTGCTTGCATGTGTCCACTATAGGATGCCTGTACATCATGAAGGCCGCGCCCCAGATGATCGGATTCCCAGAGACCTGATGTGGAGTTGCAGGTTCGAGCAAGTGAGCTTCAAACCTCCCTTGAATCAGTGCCACACCAGCAGCAAGCCACCGCCTGCAATGTAGCCCACCTTTGCCACAAATCATCTGCCCCAATTCATCACATGCGTGTCTGCACCAGGCCCAACCCATCATGCTCCTCGGTGCTGCTGAGTGCACGACGGTCTGGAACAGCGGGATAAAGTCTTTCCACGTTGTGGCCTGCAGCTGCATTGCGTGCAGCTAGCTTCAACTGCACTGCCGGCAATTTCACACCTTCAGTTTCAGAGAGGTCCGCTATCTAGAATCTAGGCCTTAACCGGAAACTCCCGCGCACTTCATGGCCTTGGCTTCTTCCAGCTGCGCAGCCATGATGTGGGGGGCGAAAATTGCCACCTGAGGACAGAGCATCCCTCAGCTCCGAGGGGGTTACAAACTGACTTATACATTTCATCTATGAAAGCTCTCTCTGCTGGCTCAATCTGTAAAACCTGCCTGGGTGGGCTCTGGCATCAACTGAAGATGATAGCCCTCACCGCGCATGCGCTGTTTTGACTCACTGCCGATGCAGATTGTGAACGGTTCAGATTCTGCCCCTTCAGGGCCCATCTATAGACGGATGACTTATTCCTGCGCAATGGCGCTGCTAGCTAGCCTTTGTCATGGCGCGCAGGAAACTGCTGTGTGCAACCTGAAATTCACTTGGACTGAAGGGAGTGCCGTCCGGGCCCACCATACAGTTTGATTTTGCTGAGCCGCCATGAGCAGCTATGATCTAAGCGCTTTTGCTTTACATGGAGTACAGTCCATGGCTGTCTATCCTTCGATCCTCGGAAAGTGAGACGCTTCATGAGGAATCTAACACCTCAATTTCACGCAACGGGGGCGCCCCGAAAACGATGGCAACGCAATAAGCCAAAATGCAAGAGTAATGGGTGTGTTGCGACTCTTCTTGCTGGGGGCACTGGAGTTTCACTGCCTGCACATCCATACAGATGGCAGACGTCTACGCAAGGTCGTATTTCTGACTCAAGCCTGCTGATGCGATTCAGCACTTTGGGCGGAACGAGGCTTTAGTCTCGTGCGGGGCTCGGATCAGGCAAAAGGATGCTGGTGAGTTGCCTGTAAATGCTGGCTTCGCTCTGCATTAGCCTACCACAAGATAACAAGCTATACTCATCAGTTGCTAAGGGTCTACGACCCCAGTTGAAGATTCCGAGGGCCCATGGGGCCAAGCAAATCAGGAAACTGTGCTACGGCTACAGTAACTTAGTTCTGGCTGATGTATCTATCAGAGCCGGCCCTTCGGATCCCAGTTGCCCTCAATGTGCTGAATTCGTGCCATGGCCATGCACTCTGCGCATGGCCGCTGGGAAAATGATGCTCGACAACACTAACGATGTGCAACATGCAAATGTTCGGCACAGCCTAACTTACTTGGCTATAATCAAACCCCAGAGTGACAGCAATGGAGCCAGCTGCTGTAGCTGATTGCCACCTCACACTCTGCTGTGCTTGGGCCGTGGCTCAACCAACACTTCAGGTCTTCTGCGGGGAGGAGGCGAGCAGCAGCGAGCTGCCAGCGAAGGTTGGCCACCGCGGCTACCGTCCGTGTTCTGCGGTGGTCCATGGCCCGAAAGGGAAGTGTCTGCAAATGCTGTCTCGAGGTTTGCATTTTGCCCGAGTTGACCTATCCGCTCCAAATACGACGCCGTCTCTCTTAAGCTTCTGATATGCGCCTGAAGGGCGGAATTGTCCTGTCCTGTCAAAGCTCCGAGGCTAACAATTGCCTCGAAGGGCTTGTCAGGCATATTGTCGCCTGGCGGCTGACCTTCAGTTTGAGTAGCAATGGACCTTGATAAAGGCATGACGCTAGTTTGGCTGTCTGTCATCCTTTCGGATGATCCAAGCGTTGCCCCCATTGTTGCCCTGTGAAGTTCCCGCCTCATCTTGTCCAGCTTCTCGTCCACGTCTTGCACGTGATGCTTCATGTCTTTCATCTGACTTCGAAGGAAAAGCAGGCTAAGAGTGGTGTCCTGGGACCTCATCTTGACCACTTGCTCCACAAACTCGCTGTACTGTATGTCTCCCGAGCCATCCTCATCCAAAACTCGGAACAAGGACTGCATGTCCTCCCGCTCTACATCCATCAGACGCATCTGCTCTTGGAATTCGGGTAGTTTGTCGTAACCCTCCAGCAGCTCCTCGAAGGAGAGAGACCCGCTTTGGTCTTCGTCCAGCATTTCGCACAACTGCAGAAGGCTCCGCTTGGCTCCCTCAAACGCCGCCTGCCGCTGCGTCAGTTGGAACTTGATGTCCTCTTGCTGCGCTTGGTGGGCCTTGTCGACGATGACGGACAAAATAAGGTTCAACAGACCTAAGTCAATGGTGATGAAGACCATTGCAAAGTACGGTATTGTCTCCGGGTATGTCTCCATGATTGGAATAGTAATTCTGCCCCATGAATCTCCGGCCACGATCTGCTGCCAGAAGGTAATTGCCGAAAACCACACGGTTTGAAAAGCTCGGTGACACCGCTCGCAGTCTGCGTAGACCCCTTGCGCAGCAAGTTCCGTAGACTTTGGATGCACAAACTCCACGGCAATGATGCCCAAGATCAACAGCATCATGAGCCTTGCGCGCCATGAGTTTACACGAGTAAAGGCATGCGGAAACCGGAAGCAATTGCAATCCCAAGCAACTCTAACATACTAAACTGAAGTCAAAGTCAACACAAAATGCCCGCAGTGCAAGTCCCAAGCTACAGCAGGATCGCCGCCCAACCAATTGCCTTCAAGGCGTTCAGGAATCCATACAGCATGATGTACAGCTCACGGAACAGGTGAAGCGTACGGATGCTGCGCAAGACTCGCAGTGCTCGAATGACCCGGAGCGCTTTGAAGAAATCCGAGTCCGGAATCGCGTTTGCGTCTGGGACACTGCTATCCTTGGTCCAGCTGATGATTTGCAGGCTCCAGTCGGCAGATAGGATGAACGTGTCCAGCAGATTCCAGTAAGACCTGAAAAAATCGAGACGAAAAGCAAAGAGCCGAAGCAAACCTTCAACGGTGTAGACAAGAAGGAACACCACGTTGGCAATCTCTATAGCTGGGTCTGGTGGCAAGCCAAGGCCGTTCAGGTTTGTGGCTTGGACCTTGGTTTGAGACACTTCAGAACTGGCAACCTCGCTCTCAGCTTGCGGGCTTTCCTTGCTCTAGTTGAGTCAACTATCAAAAGATTGAGCTCTGACCAGGAAGCAATGAGACCAATGTTGACCAATACCGCCACCCCAATCACCATGTCGAAGTACATGCTCGACAGCATGGTTGCAATGCATACTCGACTCCTTGACCAATGCTTTGGGAAGGCAGTGGCCTGTGAGATGGTCCCCGGCAAGCCGGTTGCATCATCTGGATTGTTACTCCGACTTTGGCTCAAGGTTGGCAGGGCAGCGTTATCTAGCTTGTCCAGGGCGAACGACGGCTGCGTGGAGAGCTGCAGTTGGACATCGTCTTGTATCATAGCCTCGCCGTGGCATCTGATCAGGGGAAGGCTTGAGCCCCTGTGCAGCATCGACGATGTTTACCAGTATAGGCGACCCTTGATCAGCATATGCCTACAACCACACCAAACGGCAGGTGCTCAGGGACACCAGCATACACCAGTACCTGCGAGTTCTGGATGGCAAGCTGCTTCTGATTGCCACCCTGCTGCTTTCACGAGGTCCTCTTTACATGCTTAGCTTGTTAAACAAACTGTCAGCTGCAAACTTTGAGCTGCGCCCAGAATCAGCAGACAATCTCAGCTTGCGGCCATCAGTCGATCCCAGACAAATGTACCCACTAGCGATAAGAGCAGCGTATATATGACCTCGCGAGGAGGGCAGAGCAGAATTATAGACGTTGCACACGACGCTTGGGTGGAACGAGGCAATTCAAGGCCTTTGCCTAGGTTTTTTGATTCCTGAGCCCTTAGACTCAGACACACGATCCAACGAATGTCTAGAAGCAGGTTCATACATCTTCAGTGTGCCCCTTTATGCCCTGCCAGGACGCCTTGATCCGCAGCTCTTCCTGGGTTGCTGTTCAGGAATTTAAAGCAAGGAAAAATTGAAAAGCCTATGAATATAATTTATGGTAACTTAAACCCTCAACCCTAAACCTTATATAATATACCCATGTTATGGCAACTT